CTTCACCACCGTGCCAGTCACCACATGATGCCCTCCTTGCTGAGCCTGGAAGGATTACAAGTAGAGGGGCAGTACCCCAATGTTGACATCAACACCTCCCAACACAAGCATTGCTGTCTTAAGGTTGCAGAACTTGCAGGAATGCCAGGCCTTGATTGTTCCCCTCAATTCACATTTCTGAACAATAACCTTGTAGAATGTACATGTACATCCTACTTTCCCCGCCCACAGCCAGTTTTGACACATTTTTAAGAGCCAGCATGATGATGGTGTGTTTGGAACAGTTCGTGAGAAAACAATCTGAAACGCCTTTTGAACAGTTTGTGAGAAATCGCAATTCCAAAAACTGACTTGTGCTTGTAGCTTAGATAAATGTGTAGCGTGTATTTTACATAATGGGAAAACTACACGTACATGTAGAAAACAAAATTAATGGTGCTAAATGTGTACAGGTATGCCTTTTTTAAAAGAATAATTTGGTGTTCAGGATGAGCAATCAATGCACTTGTTGCTGATTAAAGCAATTTGTTCTGCTCATCTACAACAGAGCACTTAAACATGTACATGTACATTGGACATATATGTGCATGTGTATAAAAAGGTATGCACTGATGTTCCCAAACAATCGTGGACGTTAAACAAAAGAATTAATGACCGTCCACGATTCCCGATACATCCACGATTGCCAAACGTGTTAATAAAGTATGAACAAAAGAGGACAAAACCGGTAGGAACGTCCACGATTGCCCAAAAAACATGTACCTACATGTACAATGGAATGTTCGCAGTAGACACATATCAAAATGCCCCATTCCAGGTCAAAGAATGAATGTTACCAGTACATACGTATACCGTTGGTGTTAAGAGAAAAAAATCTTGTTCATGCCCTCTGCACTTCAGTACTACTTCCATGAAGCAGTGTTCATGTACATGTACAAACATGTACATTTGCGCATGCAGTTTTATCATACAAAGGTAACTCATGGCTTCGAGGCCCATGGACATCTTAACATACTGTATCACAATGACGGATCATGACAGCAGCTCAACTTGAAGAAAGGTGAAGGGTGAATCACAGGGGTGAAAGACGCATGCATCCCCTGCATGGTCGGCTCTTATTCTTGAGGAGGGCCACCATGGTTCAAAACATGTTACCAAAACAACTTAAGCAGCGCACAAAAAGGGCGCCCACGTCCATGTATATGCGCGTACATTGCAAGGCACGGAACATAACACAACAAAAAGGCATTCCTGATAACGCATGGAAAGTTTGACACAATATTCGGAGAAACAGAGTCCCGAAGATCACTTGAACAAAACAGTCCGGTGGTCTTCACTCGTCAGGCTGGTTCACAGCAAAATGTGGTGAGCTTTTTGGCTCAGTAAAATGAGGTCTACACCAGCATTTAAACCTTCCAGGGTGGCACACAATACATACATGTACATGTACATTATGTCCCAATGCATACATACATGTACATACTTTGTACACGTGTGCACAGTACCAGCACCGGCTTGGAGATTGTATTATTCATAACATGTATTGAACCAATGCACCAGAAATGAAATGGTGTGAATCGTGTACAGAATTTTTATCAGGGGGACCCGACAATTTCAGTAGACAGGTGCAGATACAGGGAAAAAAGCATGTAACAGACTTGCAGCCACAACATCAGTCCTTTTCAACCTTGAACATTCATTAATCACGCTGAACAATGCCCGCATAAAAGCTGCAGGGGGAAAAAAAATACAGACAGAGCCTTGAAGTTGCTTATCAGCTGTACTTTGGTAACACGCTTATTAATCCAGTTGCATGTACAGGGGGGGGGGGTTTGAATTGTCACACTGATCGCTGGTCCAACAACACTGTGCTTGCCCGCACAAGGATGCCTTGTAGGGATGCCTTGAACTGTAACATTTCCAATGTACCGGTACAAACCCACATGGGTAACGGTATTTTAGTGTTTTCCTGATTAAAAAATCAAATATTAATTAGTACATATGTGCATAGGGCCTACATACATGTATAAAGACGAGTTTATGTAACTTACAATGTACATGTACATTCACAAACAATTTTCAAGAATATTCAGAACCACAATGACTTCCTTTTCAAAGTTTAAATCCTTGTGAACAACAAGACGTCTCAGATGGGCTGAGGCTCCAAAGTAGTAATGTGACTTAAAAATGAGCCAGTGCTACGTACCATTTGACTGGTTCTCATTTATGATTTTTCAATATCTTTTTTTTCAGTGGTCAGGCTGCTTTCAGTTTGCACACTGCCATAATTGCATACTGGTTTGTAGTTTTACGTGCATTTCCAATTATTTGTACAGGCCCCACTCCCACAGTTGGCCCAAAGGAATTTTATTAGGCAAGGTTGTGAGGGTGGAGGGGGTAATGATACTGTCTTTTCGGAATACCCTAAAAATCCTCAGAGTAATGACATGCGTAGTGGTTAGCGTAGTGGTTCTTTTCTCGCTTTGCACCAATGAGGCTCGGGTGAGAGTCCCAGCTTGGCCCAGGCTTTTAAGTGCATTTGGTTTCCAGTCCATACTCGCTATCGCATGTTTTCCCTGGGTACTCCCGTTTCCTCCTGCCTCTAAAACTGGACCTTCTTCCTAACTCCATTATGAGATACTGATTAATAAAGGTTACGAATAAACTTACAGTTAGTTACTGACGCAAACAGCTTGAGTAGCTGAAAGCACCATTAATTAACCCTAACAGTCCCAAATCCTCCAATTTCAATATGATTTTGCATACACCCTAGGGGGTTAGGGTTAAAACAAAACAACATGACTTACTTGTATTACCAAGAATAAAAACAATGAAAAACTAAGGATTGGGACCCAAAAAATTCCTCGTTACAGGCCTACACAGAATCTCACATTATTAACCGTGTTCTTCTTAATGAGGTTCAACTGTAGTCCACATGCTACATGTACATGTATACAAACACTGACAGAAAATATCCATACTTGACTTTCAACTGTGTTTTTTTTTCTCCCCTGGCACTTTGAAACTTCATGAAACTGCTCTAGTGAAATTCTGATACATTGCAAAACTAAATTCAGTTCTCAGGAGACATTTGAATACATGTATGGTGTGCTATATTTACCATAATACTAGGATGCATGTACGTCTACTGTATAAACTCAGACTTCTGGAGCCTGAAATAGTCTGAACTTTGTCTAGGAATAATTTATGGCCAAGTGTATGGCAGATTTTTATATCAGGATGCCACAACTTGGACTTTTCATTTACCGGTATGATTACCAAGGTAACAAAAAACCGTCACGTGGAGCTGAGAAATATTCTACATTCCGTGCTAAAACTTAAAAAGACTTTCTGTATGAGTAGTTAAAAATTTTCATTTTTTCCCATAGCACTAAAATTAACACACACTGCCAAAGACTTGATTTCTTGGCATTATGCATGTTATGGTCCCTGCCGTCAGAAAAAAGTGTGAACATGATTAATGAAGGCCTTTGGTCACAACTGCAGAATGAATGATCTGCAGTCTACCAGTACTTGGTAAACCTAGCGCCAGCAATTGGGTGTTGAGAGAAGGTGACTTAGTGTGACCAGACTAGCTCAGCAGGAATGCAGCAATTTTTTTCCCAGACAGCTGTTCACGATAAACTGATGGGTATTTTTTTGGGGGGGGAACCCAAAACTGTAATAAATACCAACGACAAACATGAGAGAAAACAAGGAGCACTGTGTTGCTGCTTGTTTATATGTAATCTCTAGGATAATGGGGAGAGTATAAATTTATGCACAATTGATGACAATATTCGCATTTGTCACAAGTGCATCAGTGAGATTTTGGATTTTAAATTATTTCTTTATCCTGGTAAGAAAATGAGTTTGATAAATATAAACCTGTTAATACGAGTTCTTAAAAACTCTGTCATTCCAAGTTGAATAATACATTGTAACTAAAATCCATACATTTTATGTGCTAGGCAAACTTTATCCCTGCACAGCTGTGAAAATGTTGACCTTCACAACAATCGAATCCTGGTAGTCAACAAACATTGTGTTTTCCACCTTTCACTGTACATTACCAGAAATCTTTTCAAGTAAAACCATTTTAGATTTCACTGAGAGGAAGCATGGTTTGTTTGGGTATCTCTTGTCATCCCAATCCTTTTGTTTGGATGTCAACACTCTTCATGTTTAGGTCAGTTGTTTGAACAGAAGTTGTCAATATTTTCGCAGCATTTTCAAACATGCTACACTCTTCGAGTCTCCAATTTTCAAACACTGCCCAGTCGTTTTGGTCAGGCACTTGTAAACGTGTATAACGGCAGGCTGGCAGGCCTACTCCACTCTGCCTAACATGCCTGGACAAACACCATTTGTCTATGTTCATACTTATACAAGCGGAAAGAGTTCCATGTATGGACAACACTTGATGCCCCTGTGCACAAAAGTATTAGACTTGTCTGAAAAACCTACGTGTTTTGTAAGTTTTCTAAGCTAAATTTCACATTTTAGGACATGTTATCACTTCCTGATCACTGCTGAGTGTTGTAATAAAAATAGCAGTAACAACCTTAGCTAGGCTAAAGTACGTGGTAGCATAGCAGGCCCTTGAACCAAGCAAAAATCGGGACCAGCTGACCAGCGGATTGACACATGACACTGGGATAGGATTTACCATCAATGGCACACACGTACAACCAAACGAACATGAAAAATAGCTACATGAAATTTTTGACATGAACACTACTGCCACAGAGTATCATGCCGAAGAGCTATGACCGAATCTTTAGTTTCACACGGGCCAGGGCCGAGCAGGGTTTAGGCCGAGGCCCGCCTAGCTGCTGCTGCAGCCCTGTATACAGTTTCGCTGTCATCGTATGCGTGGTCAGGCTATATTTTCAGGGCACGCAGACATCGTTCAAAGGTCGAAGATTTTACCCGCGCTTCCCACTAAAACCTGAAAATCAACCAAGGAATATTACAAAAGGAGCCCCATCTTCACCTACCTGTGACAACGGCGAACAGCAGACTCAAAAATGTGGATAAAACAGTGAAATTCCAGTAGTTGTTCGTGCGATATAGTCCTATCCAAGTCGCCATTTTGATAATGGTGTGTGAATGTAGTGCGCGCTATGCAAGGTTGATTGTCAATACACTCCGTGCAATCAATCCATTCAACATCCCAAATGCCAATCAATGGGGGTCTACGCAGGGCATGGAGGGGTACCGTACACGCCAGGTTGAATATGAATATTCAGCAGTAAATCTGTCGTCACCAAAGTCGGTGCCATTATTACAAGTAGGGGAGGCAATTAAACATGACTTCGGGCGTGATTTAAACATGCGTTTCCGGATAAAGCCATTTGAAAATAATTGTACGGGCCATTGAAAATAATGACCTTATAAATAATAAACGATTTTTTGAACGCAAACAGTTTGAATCTTTTCAGCTCAAACTTAAAACTTCCCTATTGAAAATACATATCCGAACTCCAGAGATGTCTGGCATGAAAATTATAAAACATCGTGTCCTGGAGAGAACACATAAAATTCTCCATTATAAATTCTCAATACATAAAAGGCAGTGATTTATTGGGATAATACTTTTTTTTCTAACTGTGTCAGCAACTAGCTGAGCATCGTCACTCGACCTGTGAAATCAAACCAACCTACGCGGAATGGAGCAACCTTAGAGGGCCATGTTTACACAACAGGGGGCTGCGGTGTCGCCAGCGTGTCGTCTACGGACAAAGTCAGGGGGCCGGCAAGAAATGACCACAAAGAAATTTGGGGTTTTTTCTTCCACTACATTGACCTGAGTGTGACCACAGAGCCACCCGTGGACGAACATGGGGACATACTGGTCGACACTAGAAGAAGGACCTCGTACATGTACTGACAATCCAAAAAAGACGCTGAACGACAATACTAGTAGCAGAGCTGCATATGTGTGGTTTCTAGCCGTTTAACACGTTCACACATTCGGATGTCTGTAACCTGGATGTCTGAATTAACGTGTGAGGTTTTTTGGTTTTTTTTTACATTATCCATGATTAAAATATGCAATTGATTTAATGGTGTCTTGAACAGAAACGTCCATTTTGTGACTTTCGATCATCTTAATTGGTACTCGGTAATTGTCCCTCCAAAATACTCTGACTGAAGTTTTAAAGTCTTTTGATGCAGTAAAGCACGCAAACAACAACAACAACAAAAAAATGTAGAGATTCTACAACAAAACAAACTTCATGACGTCTCAACCAGCAGCTGACTGAAAGAATTTGCTGTCACAAGTCAAGATTGATCGAGTAGGCAGATTTGTAGATCCTTTGTGTTACGAACAATATGTAACGTGATTACGCCCTCTTTGTCTAGAGGGCGCTAGTCATAGAAAACTCAAAATGACCCGAGTAACAATAATAATTTTGTAGTCACCGCTCAATCATGAAAATTAAACGACCCGTACTTTTCAATGCAATTGTTATAAAGTTAAAGCATTATATAAAGAACACTGAAAGTAATGATAACGTAATGATGCAATAAATGAAAAGGTAACCAGTTTGCCATTTTTGTCGCTGGGAAATGAAGTACATTTGAAAAGTTCTAATTGGTTTGCTCTTTGGCTTCCACGTCTTAACAAGTAGTGAATGTTTAATTCTTTAAACTGATTTAGCCAAAAAAATCCCAGAAGATTGAGCTTGGTGCTGGTGACTGATAATATGAAACAAGTCGTAAATTCGATTTCAACTTAATCAAGAACAAAAAACAGACTGTGTCGTTCTGTAAATGACCCCCACCCCAGTAATCCCCATTCACAGGCGTATTAGTGTTGTACACAAAGTGTTGCACAACAAATATTAACTTAGGCCCCTATGTGTTTTTATAATGATTAGTTTAAACTGGAATCGCGAACATAATCACAAGACTTTGAAATGTAGCCGGGCATATTTACGTCACTGCGCTGTTGCAGCTCTTGCGTGAAAGAATAGTTGGTGCACTGCTGTATTTTTCCATCTTTGTTTAGACGTTTACTCACCGTCCACAATAGACAACGCAATGTTGGTCATATCTAGTTTCCGAGCAGTTGCCGCGCAAGGCCCCCATACGTCATACCGCGAACTGTCATGGCAATAACTGTGCCCTCATTATCGCCCAATTATGCGAATTGCAGTAGTCAGCGCAATGATCTCCGTTATCAATGAGTCAGCGAACTGAAACAGGCGCATTGGGCGACTTACCGGTTTTATTTTTGTGAATGGGCGACTTGATGACGTCAAAGAATCGTATTGACTCATCCCGACTTTGGAAAAGTTGAGCATGCCTAGAGCTGAATGATATAAAAGCTTCACAAAGAGTAGCAATTGTGATTCGATTTTACACGTATCATCTAAACTGCTCCAACATCGACGTTCATACGATTTTGAATTGCTATGGAATAATTCTGGACTCTTTTGAGCTGATCTCCGTGTATTATCTTGTAACGGAATAAAGAAGGGCAACGAGCTCGAGCCTCGTAAATCACCTGCGAAAGTCTCGGTGAAGGTAAACGTCCGTCATTATGCTTTCATTGTTTTCATTAGTTTCGATTCTGTGTCCTTATAATATGATGACACAGAATATTATCAATTAATCAGCCTCGGATCCGGGGGATCACCTGCTCTGAGACCAAAATCGTTAAAAAATTGGAAACTAATCAAAACTAATTAAAGTATACAAAGGTAAGTTCACCAGTACCATTGTAAGCAATGTTAATAATGTTAATAGAGATAAAAAAATGCATGTACGCAGATGATCTGAGGTCACAGCCATAATTACTGGGCGTGGTTGTGTGGGTTTTTTTATGCCACGCCGATAGAGGTCGCAATTTACTGAAGCTAGACGGATACGTGTTGCGGGCGCGGGACAAGGTAGATTGCGTGTAGAAGCACTGGAAAGGTGCGAGAAATACTCCTTTTCATCAAGCTTTGAAACTTCTTACACAGGTACATAGCTGTTGTTCGTAACCTGTAGATCATATTGTGTTATAATTACATTTGATCATCCCAATTTTAGGAATGCAAACTGTGTTAATGCAGGGGTAATTACTTAACAAGTTGGCCTAACATAACGTTAACGACAAGTACAAATACGGGTAGGCCTACAGCGCTAGGCGTCGTCACGGTCGTACATGTTGTACATGTACATGTACTTTATCGCATACGGCGGGTAATTCCAGAAATTAGGGGTCTAGACCTGTGACATTTTTGTGTCCCTGTTACATCTGACCTCTTTATTTGACATGGAAATATCACCAGAATTGATTTCAAACTATTAGGCGTACTATTTGTTTGGCAGGTACTTTCCAGGATGTGGGGAGACAGTTCTTTTGACCACTGTGATTTTACTATTTTGTCTTCCGTATGCCCGTCCCTTTGTGATGTAAATTGTTGGCATGAATAAAATAATAACAATAATTCATCACTCTTGGAAATTACATAATGTGTTTTGAACTTACAAAATCATGTCAGATACACAGGGAGGCACACAAAAAATGGACCCCTAACAACATGCCTAATTTCTGGAATTACCCATATTTAATTATACTGATTTATTTTGTTGTGTGATTTTGTAATGAATGCCTCCTAGTTTTATTTCCTTGTGGAGGTTTTCTCGAAAAACAAAATCATAATGATGAAGCCTTGGACTGTTTGCCCTTGGCCCTACATGTACATGTAGACCTATACATGCAGGCCTACCGCAGGCCTACCGTACTAAACATTCTGTCTACGGTCATGACTGTGTAGACTTTTCATTATAATTTGTTGCAGAGTTAGTCAGAACAGACAACCGACAACATGAGCTATGGTGGAGGTTACCCACCAGCACCGGGTGGCTACCCTCCTGCCCCTGGAGGATACCCCCCTGCCCCAGGGGGTGGGGGATATCCACCTGCACCTGGCGGAGGTTACCCACCTGCCCCAGGAAGCAGCAGCTACCCACCTGCCCCTGGGGGATACCCGCCAGCCCCCGGGGGTGGGGGATATCCACCTGCCCCAGGGGGTGGGGGATATCCGCCCCCATCAGCACCAGGAGGATATCCGCCTGCACCGGGAGGCGGGGGTTACCCGCCAGCACCAGGGGGTGGGGGTTATCCCCCAGCACCTGCCCCAGGGGGTTATCCACAGTCCGGATACCCACCAGCACCCCAGCCAACAGGTTATCCACCAGCTCCAGCTGTAAGTAAGAACACCAGTAATGGCAAAAGAACAAAAAAAATTATGAAAGCATATCCTTGTCCCCACCTCCATGTTTTTGGGGAAAGAGGGAGCACGCTGTTACTTAAGATGGACGCCTTCCTAAGAGTTCATGCTTTGCACGGGAAAGGTTATTAAAGTCAGAAGATTTGCAGTAGCAGTGAGTAAGTGAAAAGTAGTTAACACTTAACCTAAAAATGTTGGACTCTGAAAATGTCATGTATTTCGCAACTTATGTTCACAAGTTGGAGCAAGTCTTCACACTGACTAGTTATTTCCACATCTTTGTTTGAAAATCTGGCCTTGTAAAGAAACCAGATGGTGAAGTCACTCAGCCGGTAAGTCGGACATCTTATTTGTCTGAACAAAAGTGGCTGCCGCTGCACATTGCCACTCATCTGACATTGATCGATAGTAAACTAAGAGCTGGCGATTTCTATGCACATTCTGTCTGTCAAATTTGCCCTCTTAGAATCTGAATTGAAAGGAAAATTGTGATGGTGGTCTCCGTACATCATTCTTGTCTTGTCTTGTCAATTCAGGCACCAGCTAGCATGCCATCTGCTGACTATGGTACTTCAAGTGGCTCTGCTGGGCTCCCATATAACCCCAATCCCACCGGCATGGGCTTTGCTGTAAGTTTGAAATGACCTTTGAGATCTCACTCCCTCAGTGGTTGACACTGTAACCTTAAGTTCTGTCCTGTTCCTTTAATATCACCCATTTATTCTCAGGTGTATGCTCCAAATCTTCTTGGTTATACAAAATCAATCTTTAAATCTGATGGGCTTTGCCATGCTTGAAGGGGTTAGGTAACTTCTTACATGCTTTGTATGTGGATATTCTTCCTACGTGCATGAAATCATTTCTCTTGAATCGCACTTTGAATACTTTTCTGTACAGTCTGGCAGTTATTTTCTTGTCATATATGCAAGCAGGAGAGAGCTTTTGTAGACATTAATGCTTACAAGTAGGAAGTGGGGATGAATCTTTTTGAGAATGACCTATGGCTAAAGAATGTTCACTGTGTGTACAGTTTCTTACAAGATAATACCTGGGTCATGTGGTGACATCTAGCCATTTTCCTAACTTCCCAAAGATGACTCTTGTGGAATTTTAAGGAGAAATATGTAAACATATAAACATAGCTTTTCCTAGTGTTTAAAAAAGTTAATTGATTTGAATGAGACATTAAAAATTGCTGAGATTCTGGGCTTGGTTGTCGACAGTTTTCTGGTAATGAGTTGTTTGAATGTCATTCCTACATGCCATAGGCCAGTTAGACTTCATTAGCACGTATGTGGCCTTCTTTGCTTGCCCTGGAGCGTGGTGTATTTTTCCATTCTGTCACTACAGGTTCCGCCCACATCTGTGCAATATAACGATCCGTACGCAGCCCAGCTAGGCCTTGGTGTAGGTCTTGGCATGAACTGATGAACATGTGCTGTGCTTCTTTCTTGTTTGGGATTTTTATGCTGGTTTTCTTGTTGCCTGCTCAATTTGTTTAGTTTTTATTTTTTGGTTTATTTTTCCATTTTGATTGTTTTGTTTTGCTTGTTGCACAAATTCGTTGTTGCGCCCTGGAATTAGAATGGCATCTTGTTGGTTCTGCGTGTTGCATTTAATCCCAGACACGCCTCTCTGTGATCGGAATCTTGACGCTTTCCAAAGGGTCGCTTCATTGCCAGATAATTTTCTGGACCGTTGTGTCACAAAACAGCAGTCATCTGATAAAGCTAAGAAAGTCGGACTTTGATCTGCAACCAAATTTTCTCCTCTATTTACAATGTGACACAAGTGTACAGTACATGTACATGAAGCACACAGAGGCGGCATTGTATAGCAGGTCATGCACTAATTGTATGATCATTCTTACATTAAATCTCTGTAGTGTGCCAACCGCATTGAGATTTTAATCAGCTTAGTCACGTTGTTGCTTGTATGTACATGTACGTGGGCACATGTAAACAGTGCCATAAGTTATCTCCAGTGAGCCAGTTCTGTATTCCAACGATGCATGCCCAGGACAAGGCTATTCAGGAGCAGCAATGCACCAGCTGGATATCGGCGTAGCCATACGCTGACTCATGCACACGCTGTGTTCCCGAAAGACCTTGGGTTTTTGAAATACCGAACAGGCTCAGTTGCCGAACATGAAGGAGGAACTCAGTATCTCATGGGGATGCTCAATGAATTTACATGCAAGTTTTACTTGGGTTGGGGGAGTGAAGAGCAGAAAACTGTCAGGGTTCCTGCGGCCTGGAAAAGCCATGGAAAAGCCATGGAAAAGCCATGGAAAAGTCATGGAAAAGTCATGGAAAAGTCATGGAAAAGCCATGGAAAAGCCATGGAAAAGTCATGGAAAAGTCATGGGAAAAGCCATGGAAAAGTCATAGAAATTTTCAAACACAGTGTGTGATTTCTATTACCAAATACAAGTACATAAAATATGTGATTTTATTCGCAACTTTAAAAGGCTGGATAGTCCAAGAAATTACGTTATTGGGTCATGGATTTTCATAATTTGGTCATGGAAAAGTCATGGAAATGTCATGGAATTTATTTATCCTTTAGGTGCAGGAACCCTGACTATGTTTGTCATGCACAATGCTTCTCTGTGGGATGCTTGCTGTGAATGTATTTGGTTCTCAATTTTGATTTTCAAATTTAAGTATTTGTCCCCTGTCTTAGCTGGTGACCTTGCCACCTGGTGCAATATACTCACGTCTGTGTGGACACTTGTATCCAGCCCTCCCACTGCTGCGACTTAAATTATTTCTGTAGTGTGTTGCGCCTTCAAGGGACTTGCCGTGCATAAGGCGCATAGGATTGCATGCCTGCCTATCAGGGATAATTTCCTGAGCTTTGATGTGCAGTGCAGTGCCATGACTAGTAGATTAATCTCGTTGCTCCCGCACCTGTCTGCCATGCTTGAGTGGGAACGTCACGGATGATGGCTTTTAAATGGGAATTGGCTGTCATGTTTTATGGGGACTATGACAAAACTGTTAACACGTACATGTACACGTTAAGTGGCTGGCCAAAAAACATAAAAGGAGAAACCTTAATCAATGTTTTGCTCAATTCTCATCATAAAAGTTTTAGTAAACTAGTGCTGTTCAGAAGGATGTGATTATGCACTTCTCCTTAGAGAAATCATGTAGTTTTTTTCAACCCTAACCACTGTCCTCGGGTACATGTATATTGTAAACAGTATAATGTGTGATCATATGCACCACTGTGTGACTGATCTTAGTACTTCAGCATTCATCCTCATGCTGCAAAATTTACATTTGAATACTTGTACGTGTACAACGATGCATTTGTTAATTTTGAGTAGCTTCCATGTAATTCTATTATTTGAAAACAATGATATTTCAGAGTTTTTTTATCAAATACAGGAGAAACTGTTGCCAAGATGGCACTTTACTCGCAAGCATGACACTGACATTCGTAAACTTGACATACGTTCCTGTGAAGGATTTTTGCATGTGTTGTCTGCTCTGAGCAGAGCAAAAGAGGGCATGTTTTTTGGTTCTTACCGCATAGTAGGTGCACCACAAGGCGTGCAAGTATATGCGCGTTTGACGCGGAGCACGCTGAGTACCCGTAACTAATGTATTCCGGCATGTATGGTCTTTGCGTACACGCAGAATGCGTGCAGGAACCCGCTTGTAACCACGTGTCTTTCTTTTCACCGGTTGGGGGTGCACTTCAGCTCAGGGCAGATTAGAGAACCTTACAGGTATTCGCCACAACTTGGAGACTCACATGGCATTGATTAATGAATAATTTGAAACTCGGGCACATTTTCTTCCGTTTTTGTGTAGGGAGCGGCTTATGCTGCGTCTGCCTTCCGACATCCCACTGCTGCCCCCACCCCTGCTCCAAGTGGTCCGCCCATGCCGACACCTCAGTACAATGCGCCCCCAAGTCAAGGGATGCCGCCCCCACAGTCGTCCCCTGCTAAGCAGGTGAGCGAGAGAACTCACAAATTTGAGGTTGCAGAAAGCCCTGACAAATCACCGTACTTTATTGCTGTCATCGGTCTCGCCCCCCTGCTGGATGTTTCTTGCATTCCTCTTCATCACCTCATCTCAATAATAAAAATAATAATAAAGAGAATTCCTAATGCGCCAAATCCGTCACAAGTGGCGTCACAAGTGACGCTCGCGTTGCAAAACACTTTTACAAAACAAAAATTACACGTGTACATGAACGCGTCAAAAACAATATGACATTTACTGAAAGGTCCTAACAAATATAGATACATGTACGTGAAAAAAAATCTCACCCTTATCATTAATTGTGGCAAGCCCGATACATTGGATTTGAACCAGCTAGCCGACCCAGTAAACTTACCGGGAGCCCAGACATTTGCAGTGGTTCTTGTACTCTGAGAGTTGTGGGTTTGAGCCCCAAACAAGCAAGGATGTAAATATATGTCTCCCCCAGACATCTGACAAACAGACTTTGACTCAGAATGATAGCCAGTGTAATGCGTAGACCTGTGTACAGTACCATATTAGAATAACTATAATTGTCCTTTTCATTGTCTCATGAATGGGATTTTTGCCTTGCTTAGTGATGTCTGCATAATTTTCAGTTTTCATATTTTCATCGATTACACACGTCTGTTGAATTTCGCTTCCAGTTTCAATGAAGATCGAGCAATATACATTCAAAAGTATATGACATTGTTTAGTTTATTTCCACATCTTATATAAAATACTCACATGAATTTAATATCAAAATAACAGAAATGATATGAGGATTCCAGAGAAGAAACAAATGCTCTACAAGGTCTGGAACCCGTTTCTAGTTACTTAAATAAAATTATATAAAATAAATGTAAATCTGGGTATGTGAAAGTTCCCATTTGTTCACTCACCATCTACATGTATATGTAGCATAGATGAGACGGTTTACTGTGCTCGTTTCGAGGAGGGGTTTCCAGACACTGAATGGATATATATAATAAACCTGTACATATGTACACTTTGCTTTCCTTCATTGAAATCGATGACCTTGGTTCTTTTGACTGGTGTACGGCTTATTTACGTTTCACTGTTCCTGTTCCACATGTAAATGCCATTCAAGTTTCCTACCAGCAGAAGTATTGAGGGCTCACTGTGAATCTGATCTACATGTCCACAATGCACACATACATATACATGTACACCCAATTGTCGGGATATATTTCTGTGAAAAATTACGTCTGAAAATTTAGTGGAACCAATTCAGCCAAAATGCCTGTAACTGCTAATAGCTTCGTTGCAGTTACAGGCAAAATTTATGTAAGTGGGAAACTAAAATACATACTCCTGCTTGGAATAAACTTTCAATTTTGTGGCACATTAAAATTGACCTGTTTACCCAAACGAGCGAGGGGGCTCCACCTCTCAACAATTTTTCCTGATACCACCGCATTGCGTTAGGAGTTTTTCCAGTAACTCTTTGCGGTCATTTTGATAACCAATTTTCTGAAAATCTCACACAGCACTAGTTTTTCCGAGGCAGGTCAGCCAAGAGTGCATTCTTTTCTTCCTGCTACGCTCAAAGCTGGCGCATGTGTGGCCTTGAACTTCCAAATGACCGTAACAACAAAACCGCACCTCACATTCAGTTGAAAGTTCACATTTGTACTGATAAAAAGTGCCTGTAGCACCAGGCCAGTGTACAAAAAAATTTGAGGATGGAACAGCCAACTGTGAGATGGTCCACAATTGACTGCTCTTTTAGGGTGAACTAGTCGCCAATAGCGTATTGCTGTAGCTGCCATGACGCACTGCAATTTGTGTTCATTTAACTTCCACTATCCTTCTTGCACACAATAAACTCCCCATTTGTGAGGAAAGTAAATCAAGCGTAACACAGGGTTTCATTGTTTCCTCAAACTGAGCCCGAGTCTGAATCTTGTGGCTGGAGTGGGTAGGATGGACGTGTACATACGGGTTGTTAACCGTTTCTGGCTCGAAATGCATTCATGTACACACATACTTGTTCCATAGTTGTGGGGGAAAACATGCGACATGTCACCTATTTTGTGGGGACGGAAAACATTATGGAGACAGAGAAATGTCCCTGCAACTCAGTCCTACTTTGCCTAACTAAAGAAATTGTCCCCTTAACCCAGTGAAGGCCTACCCACGTGCACATGCGGGGAGTACATGTACATGTAGATATATTTAGCTTAGGAATATCTGGACACGGTGTGAGGCCTGTGGACTGCTGTAACTCAAGCTGCTCTGGAAGGCTAAGTTTGAAAAAAATGTTGGGCGGAATAAATATTTTGTTGTTGCTAGCTACTAGTCATAAAATATAAAATACAAGAAGGGTTGCAAACTGCTTGCCGGCTACAGTGACCTAAAAATGTACATATTGAAAAAGTTAGACGACCGATGTTTTCATCCCAACGGAATCTGTCTCAAAGGCAAACAATTATGTACTTTCCACATGCATTTTTGAGTTGGCCATTACAACTCGAGCAGATGTAGACATCGAGTCAGTTACTAATATGGGAGATGGGTTCTTTAAGCTCATTTTATTCTGATATTTATTTCAAAGGCACCTGTTGTACCAACTCAGCAGATGGCTACTATGACCATAGCGCCTAAGACAATCAAGCGGGTGAGTGTGGATCTTTTTCAAAATCACTATAATACATGCACCGGTACGCGTTCTTTCTGCAAGAAAGCTGATGCGTTATGCCTTCATCATCAAAAGAGACATTGTTGTTTGGATTCATCATGCTGATGTCGTCCATCGTGGTCTATTAGTGAGAGCCACTAGCCGGTGGTGCACATAGGGGAAGGGGGCCCGGGGACCTCCCCACAGGTTTTCAAGTTTTCATTAAAAAATTCTCAAAAAGGAAGATACAGTGTAAGCCTGCATATTTACTTGCTCTTATATAAACCATGCACTCCATTCCTGTGACACAACCCAAGGGAGGAGGGAAGGAGGCTTGAGCATTATCATTTTGGGGTAAATTCCAGTCAAATAGCCATCCTCATGACAAATCCTGGGTGGGCCACGGTTACTAGCCAAAGGTCGCAGTGTCTTCCCATAAACAAGTTTGTTACCACCATCTGCCGCCACCAAGACTTAAGTCAGTCGCCTTCTGTCTTGGCCAGTCTGATATTGGTCACAGTGTAGATAATGTCCGGAGTTTTTTCTTATCGTTGTAAAGGGAACAGGAACTGTGAAGGAGAAGGTCAACTTTAACGGTCAAAAGGAAGCGGAGATTCTCAGGAAGGCAATGAAGGGAATAGGTGAGTGTCTTCTTATTGTCCAAAGTTTCCTCTGCTGAGATTCTCTGTAGACAGCCAGCACCATGTGGCCTACTCACAGTGCTTGATTGCAAAAGTACTTATGTGGTTATCCTTGATTTTGCCTTGAGCAGAAGCACCCCCTCGTTGGTCGAAAAGAGCCGCGTTGGTTGGGAGTGCTCATTTTGTTGGTAGTAGTGTGGCTATAATGCGTGCTTGTCGTAGTTGTTTGTGGACCAGCGAAGTGCAGTTCTGGCCTAAGTAGCCTGCATTGCTAGAAAAATTGCGCCCTCTCTTAGTCCGGTTCGGGGCTCATATGTGCAACCTGTTTTCAGCACAAGAGGGCAGTGTGTCTTCACATAAGAAAACCTGTGGATCAAACAATGAAATGGACATCTGTGTTTATGTCGGGGACTTCAACGCATACAGTAAAATTTGCCCCACTTGAGGGTTTACGTAGCGGTAGCAGTGAACATACTGCTCTCAGTCAGCTATGTATTGCACAGTTGCTTGTTACCTACCCTCGTTACAATTATTTTTTAATTCAAAAGGTACTGACGAGAAGGCTATCATTAGTGTGGTAGCTACATGCTCCAATGCTCAGCGCCAAAGAATCTTGCTTGACTACAAAACAATGTATGGAAAGGTAATGATTACTTGTTTCTGGTCATGACACCGAGGATTCCTAAAAAGTGCCATGGGCACTGTGGCTCGCAAGCTGGAAGAAACGTGTAGAGAGGAGACAGTAAAAAGTAGTTACGGTTTTTAGAGGTGGGAGAAAAAGCCCAGAGGAATAATCTGGGTAAAACCCACGGAGTCAGGTAGGGACTGGAAGCCCAATCCACATGTAGACTGAGTGAGGAATGGAACCCGGACTGCAGAAGCGGAAGGCAAGGAAAGACTATGCCAACCTGACTCCCCTAACAGAGGGTGTACATAGCAGAAATGCTTCAGTTTATTGGAATTCACTGGAGAAATCAGTTCCTTTGAGATTCCCGACTGGTTACCATGTTGATCGTTATCAAAGTGATAGCCAACAAAGACCCCAATACAAGAATTATTCCACATGTATGACGTCATGATGCTGTCATCATCTGATTTATTCTAGATTTTTCTACATTTATTTCAGCCCATGGTTACGTGACCATGCGTGTAGATTCATGTCTATTTCACGATTGTACGTGCACCGTCCGTTGAAAAGGCCAGTCACAATAAAGACTGATCCAAATAGGTTGAGATCCAAGCAGAATCTTCTCAATAGGTAAAAGTGGACAAGCACTATTGATTGAATTTTGGTGACGTGATAATTCTTGTGGTACTTGTCGGCAGGACTTGGTAAAAAACCTGAAGAGTGAACTCAAGGGAAAACTGGAGGACGTGGTTGTAGGCCTGATGATGACCCCGGCAGTGTTTGATGCTCACCAACTCAGGAAAGCAATGAAGGTACTGCACTGAACACCACCACTCTGTTTACTGTTTACCTGTTTACTTTCCAAAGTGAACATAATTTTATTAGTATGTTGTGCAGATTGGATCCAAATCTGAAGTTACTTTGAAGTCTCAAATTGTGCCACCCAGACAAGCATAGACTTAGTCATTTCTCAAAGCAGATTGAATGCTGCTGTTTTGTGAGCTATGAATTTGAAGTAAATTTGCTGCATTTTTTTATGATAATTCCATAGCTCGAAATAGACCATTTTAATTAGTGCAGATAATGTTTACAGTGTTAAAATTAACTCAATTCTTGGCGATTGATTTGTCCAAACGTGCGAACTGTTTACAACTGAGTGGTCGATTCATGTCACTGATTATCACCTAGGGCCTTGGAACCGATGAAGCTATTCTTATAGAGATTCTGTGCACAAGAACAAACCAGGAGATACACACTATCAAAGAAACCTACAAGAAAGGTCTGTAAAGTCATTGTTGTGAATTTAAGCTAAGCCATGATGAATAAAGTCGTACCAGAGTGTTTTTGACAGGAGTATCAAATTTTATAACGTTGTGCTGCACAAAAAGCAATGTACTGCCCCATCTGTTTGAGGAGATGCCATAAATGCCACAGTGGTGCCATAAAAACATGCACTTTGTTGGACTTGATATTTGGCAAACCACTACTCCTGCAGAGGGTTTCACGTGATGTAACGTGACCTTCAAAGGCATTTCAGGAAGCGTACCACGTCCATAGAGGTGGTTGCATTTTCAAATCTGTGTAATTCCATGTACACCAGAATATTGAGAGATTTCAAAGGTGCGCGCATTTCTGCGCACATCTGTGGAAATGGAATGCTGACCGTCAAAAATCATGATAAAAATCCTCGGTTGAATAGGGATGTGACACGCGCGTACCACCTGTCCCCGAGCATTGTTTCACCGCAGGTTGGTGAATTACACTGTGCATTTATTTATGTAAGCATGGGCCGAACTCCCTGAAACATTACCTGTGCTTACGGGCACTTGGTTTGACGAGTTGGAGGAAGTCTTTGCGTCATTGTGGGCAATGAACCATAAAGAGAAGCTTTGCCAAATACTTGAGCCATTTCTGAACAATCTGTTGGATTCATGGTGGGTCTGTGTTTCATTCTGTATTCAAAGAATTCTCCAGAAACCTTGAGAAGGACGTGGTATCGGAAACATCCGGCCACTTCCAGAGATTACTGGTGTCCATGACGCAAGGAGCGAGGAGCGAAGACCCGACCGTGAATCAAGCAAAGGCTAAGGCAGATGCACAGGTAAAAAGACGAGAAGGGGATGCTGAAAGACAGGCTGGTGGGCGGGGAGAAGTTGGGTTGGTAGGGGGTGATTAGATGTGCAGGCAGTGTCAGGTGGGCGGTGTAGTAGATAGGAAAAGGACCGATGGGACTGTAAGATGCGGGGAGAGAAAGTAAGGCGGAAATCGTGTGGGACAGTTTAAGCAGGGAGAGTGGACCTGAAATTTGATAACTTTGGACATCTTTTGCTGTGGTTGAACAAAACTCAGTAACTGATGGGATTATTTAAGCCAAAGTGGGTGAAAGCTGACCATCTTTGGGAACACCACAGCGTGTTTTGGGAAGAGTGAGGGCAGTGCATGTGTGATCGTGTTTTTGCTCGGTATTTGTGACATAAAACTGAGACATGAAACTTACGTGCCAGACAGTTGCAATGTGAATGACTTTGAACATTTGGCTTGTATACTCCTAGCACTGGCTTCAAATAAATGCCCCAAACCACATATTTCTTGAGTCTATAAGATCAGGTCGCTTTTTCAAAGGACAGGTTTCCGTACTTCCCCCTCCAAACAAAAATTCTTCAGGCTCTCTGGGACGCAGGAGAGAAGAAGTGGGGCACTGATGAGTCTAAGTTTAACGAGATCTTGGCCTCGCGCAGTTTCCCACAACTGCGAGCGACATTTGACGAGTACAGCAGGCTTGGCAAATACTCAATTGAGCAGTCGATAAAGAGGGAAATGTCGGGAGATCTGGAGAAGGGAATGCTCACCATAGGTGAGTATTAAACGACCTTTAAACTCTTTATCAGAAGTCACTTCTACCCCCGATTGCTGTGCGAAGAGCTCTTTTGGTCTCTAATTCTTGGGGATTGCAGTACTCAGAAAATCACATTGCATCATAATATTTCAGTAACTGAAACAAAATGTTGATGCTCCCTAACATAACGTAATTGCTCTCTCTCCAAAGTTGACTGCGTGCGGAACACACCAAAGTACTTTGCCATGAAGCTGTACAAATCGATGAAGGTAAGAGATCATCATGTATGCCTTGAAGTTTATGAAACTGTATGGCTTGGGACTAGTACTCGGCTCTTTTTTTGCTTTAAAATTGGACTAGGATTGTTTTCCTACCGTGGGCTCTACCCGCGAGGGTACATGTACATGTACCTCTGAGCAGAAGCCAGCACAGTTGTTTGACTGTTATTCAAAACTTCTCTGAAAGGTATTGCTCATACATCAGGATTTGTCTTCAAAATTCTGGTTTCTTAAGGAGAAATCTCCTCTTTTTTGGGCAGGGTATTGGCACGGACGATGACACACTGATGCGAGTCATCATCTCTCGCAGTGAGATCGACATGATGGAAGTCAAGCAAGAATTCCACAGGGATCACAAGCAGACCCTGGGCAAATTCATAGCTGTGAGTGTCCTCCATTGGTTGGAGCTAATGTGTATCACCCCACACACCAGCCAATCAGAGGCAACTTTAGACACTGTGATGCAGGCTTGGGATTGAAATATGGCCAAGGCCATAAACTCATAAACTCAAGATGAAAAATGAAACTGCAGCATTCTTACATTGTAACTTCTTTGGCCATTCTTTTTCCAGGGGGACACATCTGGTGATTACAAAAAGATTCTCTTGGAACTGGTTGGTGGAGAGTCATAAAGGCGCCAGACTATCCGTTCAAAGGTAATCCTGAGTGTTACAAGGTTCCATCTTGGAGTACAGCTATACCCTCTCAAGTTCCAGTTTGTTTGGTTATATTGTCTTCATGTTGTCTATATATTTTTTGTGGTATGTCAAAACTTGATGTGTATTTACTTGATATCAGTGTGAAGTGTGTCTAACCCTAACCCACCCAAATCCTCCAAATTCCTTTTCTGCAAAGTGGAGGAATTAGGAAGATTCAGGGTGTATGGAAAAATTGTATGGCTGATTTTGAAGGATGCCATACATGAAGGTCTTGGATTGGACCTTATCTTGTCTGTGCTTAGTCAATCTCAAATTCAGCCCGATATTTCTTTTGAATCAACCGCACAAGAATGCCATTCGCACTGCCTTAACATAATGACAGGAATTGCTGGAGGATTTTGAACGATTTGGGCTTAATGCAATTTTTTCATGTTGAAAATCAGAGGATTTCGGAGGATTCGGGGTGGTTCCTAGTAAAAAGGCCTAGGGGGTTAGGGTTAATGTAAGACATGGTTGTTTCATGTTCACTTGTTGTGAACTCACATACCTAAACCACAGTTGGTTAAAACAATATTGGTAGTGTTATTGCAATATTAATAACAAGAAATTCCAGTCATTCTCTATTCCCTGTCTTGTTGAAAAAATGATGTATACGTTTTGAGAGAAAATATATCCTAATCAGCTTAAATGTTTACAAAAACAAAGTCCTATTTTTGTTTTATATTTCAGTTTAGATGTTGGACTAGAAGTCATCTGTCTCTTACACGTAGGTTGTGTGAAAGTATATGTAGTCTTTACTTAGCTCGTTCTGTCTAGTTTGAAGTTATTTCTAACTGTAGTTGACAGGCAGTAACAGTAACATTGAGATGAAGTTCAAGGCCCTCTAACTTCCAAGCTTTGTAAATATTAGCTCATTCGAGCCAGTCGGCAATTTGCAGCAGCTTTTTCTACTTTATTTGTGAGGAAGCAAATAAGTAGATAACAAAGAGAGGGTGATATGTTTCTTTATCAACTTGCGCCAACCTAGCTACTCCTTCATCAGCTTTTGGAGCCTACATTTATCATGTGATCCTATCAATTCCTTGAAATGTAAGTGAACTCCTATTCCGGTCGAAATAAGAAGTTGCTTTCTGTTTTCAGAGTTCATTGTTTATAAGTCACTTAGAGAGCCTGAATCATGATCAAAATGAAAACAAACTTTATACAGTATATTTCGTCGTGTGCCTGGAAGAAGGACGTAAGAGCTTACGCCCTTTTGCTGGGAAGCATAATCGCTGCCCAGCCAAAAGTTTTCCCTGCAAAAGGACGTACGTATGCAACTGCTTTTTTCTGACTGATATATAAAGATCTCTCTGCAAAAAGTTTTTTAAAAACTTCCCCAAGTGGTTTGACAAGTTGTTCAAAGGTTGCTTTTGGCGCAGCCTTTGTTGATTTTGAAGTAAATTGTACCCGCGTTTACTAAATAAGGAAAGTATGTTTCTTACGCCCATTTGCCGGGAACGATTTTTTTTGCGTGACCATGCTTCCTGGCAAAAGGGCATAAGCGCACTTATGCCCTTTTGCCGGGCACACAACGATTTATTTTCGTTGTGTTCGTAAGATATTTTTGTATATTTATAATATTCCTTGTTTCTCCAACTGTAAAATGGAATTTACATTATGGGACTCGGCGACAGGGGTCAATTCCTAGGTAGGCAATTGACTTCTGGTTGGAGATAAAGTCACTGATATTATTTGGTTGATTGAAGCCCTCTCACAGTGACAGCACCATGTTCACCCTTCAGAACCTTTTAGCCAAAGACCAGACTAGAAAGACCAGACTAGCTGAGTTAAGCTGCTTGTTCAGTGAGTTCTAAAGTAAGGAGGCAAAGAAACACAGAGAGGGTTTGGAGGGTTGTGGACTAGAGGGGCTGAGAAAATATGAGGACATTGTGTAGGTTGGATTGTATGGGCATTTCTGTGATTAATGAATGTAGCTACACCATTTTAGGTGGACTTACATTGTAATGGTACTCTCCAGAGACAGTTTAGGATTAACGTTGGAACAGATGTTTTCGAGTAGCTTCCCTGAGTTGACCCAAGTTTGCCCTTTGAGTTGTTAAAGTAGCTCTAAGTATAGCTTGCAAACACGGCTCTCTGAAATTGTTCCTGCTTCGAAGAAAGTAAAATTGCTGATTTTGTTTTAGAATGAGTGCCATTACATTTGGACCGTCAGCTCAGTTAACAAAACAACTTTTGGTTAATGCCTTGAAAGTTTGTACATACACTGTACTTTGTGCAGTTTCACCTTAAATGGCCTTTTAAATTTTTACATCAAGTAGAGTCAAAGTACCTGTATATCTAAATGGATTATCTAATGGATAAAGAAACTTCTATTTTGAATGGTATATTCAACTTCAACTGCCTTGAAAAGGAAACTGGATATTTTTTGTGGACTCTCTTTTACATGTCTTGAAATTTTTGCCATCGTCAGCGAGCTTGATTTATACGATGACATTGGATTGTAACATACTTACACAAATGAATCAATTTGAATCTAGAAATGCTCGAATTAAATTTATGAATTTATTCAAGCTTTGCTACTTGCTGTATATAAGGGCTATTTATTGAGGTACAAATTATACCTGTTACTGCTGGAATTGATAAACTAACCAAGTACTAATAAATTTATGCATGATTCTGAGTCTATTATGTACAGCAAGGCTCGGTAGCTCTATAAAAATATCTACAAATTTTAGTTAAACAAATCCCTTGGTTTGAAAGCCAGAATCAGTATCGTTTTATAAATTTCAAACTTTTGCTAAAATCCTTCCGCGGTGGTTTGGTTCCTTGAGAGGAAAAGTTATGAATCATTTTCAGGAAGGAGTCGTTCTGAAGGTGGTGACTTGCGTTTATCTTCTGTAATTTTTCTGGTAGTTACAGGGGAGTCTTTATCTGCTGTAGCTTGAGCAGAAGTTTTTCTCCGTTTTTCCAGCTGACAGTTTTCCATCTGAATAATATACTCTCGACATTTTTCATCGATAAGCATTAATGTTTGCTGTTTCTACTCTCACGCTCATCTACCTGATCAAGTGAATAAAACTGTACAAATTTGACATGTGCTCCTTGCTTGGCTGCTTATTTTTGTGTCAATCTGCATAAATTTGCATAGAGTTCACAAGGTAACTTCCAAAAAGAATTGAAGGCTCGGCTATTCCCCATGGCAGTATTGGTGAGTATGGTGTCAACAAAGGAGTTGAATCAAACTAGAAGTGTCTATCAACTGAAACAATTAGCGCCAGAAAGTTTTGTATCACTTCTGTGAGTTTTTCACTCATTCTCACTTTCACACTTTGCAACTGAGAAAAGATACCGCGTTTTGTCAAATAGAGCTGCCCCCGCATTGTAGTGAATGGTTAAAATACCTGTTTGTATTCTGTTGTACATTTTCCTGCCGCAATTATGGTTTGTTGATCGCAACTTCGTGTTTTTTTCCTATTTGAAAAATAGGCATATTATTCATTAACATGGCTTTGTATAAGTTTTAATATCTAGTATTTTGACTTGGGTTTTTCTTTTAAATAGAACATTTGCAAAATCCCCAACAATTTAGTTTATTATTTTTGTAGCACAGCACGGGGATTTCATAACTTGCAATTTACATGTATTACTGTTCCAAAAAAAGCATGCCATCCTCATGACAATGTTGAATAGCCTTTTTCTCACAATATTGATCATCGATAAGGGCATGCTTCATTGGTGTATTAACCCTGAGCAAACAGGTGGATTCACCGCTCCTTATTGCCTGTGTAATGCATCAAGGGGCCATCTCGTCATTAATAATTGGATGACTCCAAAGTCCACTCCCGGCTTCGCTTGGCAGAGTCAATCTTGGCAATTGACACTTGCCATGGGAACTGATCGGTGCAGCTTTTAGGGGTGTGAGAATTCAGCTTTTCAACTGATTTGAGCTTTATTGTTCACATTTTTTACCCTAAATTTCAGCTTTTTTTGTCCACCTGTTGCAGGCAAGACTATCAGAAATGTTGAAATTTCAGGTTTTTGCTGGCTGTTTTCAGCTTTTTTTGTATGTGGCTACTCACACCCCTGCATTTTGTTCAGATGTTCTCCAGCCACTTTTAGACACAACCATGACTTTTTTGTAGTGGCAAAGTATTCACTAATACAACATAATGTAAAATATAAACTTGGCATCACAAAACGTTGGACTGTCACTTAAAATACATGATCTACATAGCCTGTTTCAGGAAGTTACGGCTATGGCTACATTTAGATGTAAAACGTGCATGCATGGAACACATTAGCCTAAATAGCGTCTACACCCATATCCCTTGGACACTTAAGTTTGTGTTTAAGCCAAAAGTTGAGGCACAATCATACATGTATGCACATGCATCTGTGCAAATGTATTCTCTAAATTCACGGGTGGAAACTCACTCCTTTTGATTGAAGCTAGGGACAAGACAAATGCAAGTGAAATTCAACCAAGTGAACAGAAATTGAGATATCTCATTCCCACTGGAAGAGTGTTTTTTCTGTACTATTTCAATCAACATTCAGAGTGGTTTTTCACTCTGAAATGGTCAGTCTGTATTTTCACTCTTTCGGATTTAGAGCGTGCAAACCTTTGAACGGCAACCCCTCCCCCTTGTCAAATGATTTGTAATCCCACCCCTCCCTCAAGCCCTGGGTTTTATTTTTTTATTTTCCCACGGCTAGGGAACTTATCATGCAAGCTACGTATGTGTTAGTTTTGCACTTCTTTTCATACCGGACATCTGGGGTTGGTTATTAAAATGGCATTAGGTCTCCACAATTCGAGGCTTTATTTTCATGTGGGGAATTCGAAACTCAACACAAATTAAAAATATAAACTTCATATTTTGTTCTCAATTTTTTCATGCTGTTTAGAAATAAATCTTTAATTAGCATTTAAATCCAGTTGACAAAATATACAAATAGTACAGAATGAAGTTACATGCTTGATAATTGCACATGTATAGAAATACAAGCTCATATCAAAAATAAGTCTAATGTGCAGTTCAAAGGATTTATGCAATAATTTTGTGAAAAAGGCCAAAATTGTCTTCGTAATATATCACATGCCCCGTTTGACACTCACACGAAGGGGTCTGCACATGCTCTGTTTGACACGCACCAAAGGCGTCTTGCTTTCCACCATATTTTATACTTTTCTTAAATTTTGAAAACAAAGTTATTCAAAGACCTCATTCCATATCATAAGCACAGCACACTGCAGTTGCAACAGGTATCAAAATATTGCAGAAGAAAAAAAAAGTTAAGTTAAAATTTGCAACCGTAGAAAATCAGAATTTCAATAACCAATCAAATGCCACCGATCACTGCATAGCACACCATGCATTTACAACATCGTTGTCGAACTTCTGCTTATAAAAGGAACTGCACATTCAATTTTTTTCACACCATCTGCAAAGGCTACATGCAATTACATTGTAAATTCAACTTTCATTGAGTATATAAGTTTATAAAGAAATATCTGAAATCTCTGCATAGTTCATTGCATTACATGTGTAAAACTAAAAGTGAATGTGGTTACTCAAATGATTTATGCAAAGTTTATGCATGCATTAATGTGCCAAAGTACTGCATAGAAACTTCAAATATGTACACTTATTTTACCAATACTGAAAAATTAAGGTATGGATGGATTCTGTATTAACATTCTACAGACCAAACCTACATATTAACACAAAAATAAAACACATTTTAGTGACAACTTATCAGAAAAATGTTTGCACCTATGTCGTCTAAACTTTGCTTCAGTATTTACTCGTTGAGGAAAGCTCACATAACAAAAACCGCCACGTTTCCTGTTCAGTCTTTCACATGAAGCCTCTCTTCCAAATGCAGACAGCTGTGTGTATGTACTCAATGACCTTGTTTTCTCTGCAATTCAGTTTCAATTGAATCTGGATAATATCTTCCCTCACAGTTCTGAATGTTCTGTAGTCACTGAACTCATGTCTTAAGTGGCGAAGCAATACACTTTGGTCAGTGTTATAACGACGTGGGTGGGTATTGTCAAGTAAATCAGTCCAAATCACGAGCTCTGATGTTTCTTTCTTACTATTCACTCCCGTTTGTTGCTAGGTCAATGAGAGCTCTTCAAAATTAAAGACTTTACTGTTAGTTTGCTTCCGGCCTTTAAATTTATACTTTACAAAATACACACTGACTAAAATCAAATTAAGGGTTTCCTTTCACAGCCTTGAGGTTCATCAGTAATCTGGATTACTGGGTGAAGATCTAGAAGAAAGGAAATTGGTGTACAAAAATAACTACAATGAAAAGTCTTCGCAGCAGTGAAAAGCAGAAAAATGCAAACTGTGAGTGTTTCATAGACAAAACCTATGTCATTTTAAAGCACAAACATTTCTTGTTGGGGTTATAGAGTGCTCTACGCTTTTCTGTGCTCTGCCACTGGTAAATTAAGTGTAAAAACTGCGTACTCTACATTCTATGAATGTTCACTTGACACTTAAGGTTGAAGGAGGGAGTTGTACATTAAATGCAGGGTGTTCTGAATATTATATTTAAAAAAACTGGAGTTGTTGGCAGTATTTAGTCAGGTTACTCACCTGTGAGAAGCATTGCTGTAGTCAGTGACTTGTGTGGCAGAGGGTGCTACCCCAAACCTCTTCCGACTGGAGCGAGAGTTTGTAGAGACACCACTCCCTCTCCTGCTAGATGCATGCTGGGATTGTGATCCCGTCTGCCTGTCGGAGGACGAGTAACCGCTGCGTAGGCTGTGCATGCTGGACGGGCTCTCGTAACCAGAGTTGCTCAGACTGTGTGGTTTGCTGTGACTTCTAACAACGGACTGGTCGCTCCCCGAGATGACAGAATGATGGGCGCTCACAGGCCGACTGCTGCCATCGGAGATACTGGGAAAACTCCCATGATGCTCGGGCTGGTAGGAAGCCACTGTGTGAGGGCGGCGTACATGATGGTGTTGGTGCGGGACATAGGGGTTGGCAGTGTGGGTCCGGTAATAGTTGGTATGGGGGAACATTTTTGGGTAATCTGGGTGGTTGGGTGCTGGGTACCTGTTTAGGGCAAGAGGAAAAGGCAACAAAAGAAAATAAGTACCACAATACTAAAAATTAATTTTTTGTGCAATTTTTGAGCAACCACTGACTTTTGAAGTTGGAAAATGCCAAAAAAAGCAGAAAATAATGAGAAAGTCCCTGCTCGTGCATTGTTGTTTCTTGGTTTAAAAGTAAAAGGAGATCACCTTTCACACTCTCCATCTACAACTTGTAAATGCTCATGACAACTGCATATATATATTTCTGGATTACTGTTCATTTGAAATTTGTACCAGGAAATGACAATGCTTTGTATCTGCCGTACCTAAATTGCTTCTAAAGTCTACATTACAAAAATGCCAAAATGAGGAAGAAACCTCTTCTTCTCAATTTCCTGTTTACTTGCTGCTGGAAGTGGAAAGCAATGACAGTCCACGATACCATGGATCATGTTCATTTGTATAATTGTCTTAACAGGACAGACTGTATATCAGCTTAAGGAAGGATATTGCCCGGACTGACAAATAGTGCTCTATTGCTTATAAAGTGAACCTAGGCAAAAACACCGTTTGGCTAGCGTACCATGGTTCTTGAAATCTGTGGGTGTATTTGTCTTCTTGTGCTCTCCTGAAGTCTCCCATCTGTCAATAGATAGAACGTGCGATAAAAAAATACAATGAGTTGTGACTGTGGTGTAGTGTGGGTGGTTAAATACATGTATAGCTCTAAGACTGGCTCAGGTCCAAAACTTGTGTCCTGAGCAGGCTTCAATTTCTCCCTAGAGTTAAAAAGAAATCAAGTTCCTTCCAAAAAGATTCCACATTTCCAACTGCTTTTCACTGTTTTCCTGACAAGATATGCTAAAACCTGATAAACTTCCTAAACATTTGGTCCAAAAATAGTAAGGCCAATATTTAAAAATGTGAGATTTGGGTCTATTATCTGATTAATATGAATTACACTGGATCTGACTTTTGAATAAAGTTTGTTACCATATACACATTTTGATGACAATTCTTAAGTTACTACTAGCTTGTTGGCATGGAGAAATCAAAATTCTCTAAGATTTTGTTACCGTGATCTGCTTTCCACTGGTAATGTTCTTCCAGTCCACGAAAGGTGGGATGAGCCAACCCACCTCACCCGCCCACTTGCCCCTTGAGACTGGGTGGGGGGAGCCCGGTGCACCCCTCCAGATGTACCTCAGGTCGCTGGTGCCCTCCCTGGACATAGTGCCAATCCCCACCATGTGGTAATCCGTGACCACATGTGCCTTGTAGTCTCGCACACCCCCTGGACCTAATATGGTGAAATTCATAAAAATGTTCACGTTTTACTGAATGGTGATGCTTTAGCGAAATGAAGTGATTTCCTAATTTAAATATTGAATTCCTGTCTTAAATATCATTAAAATTCAAGCCTATTTTTTCAGCCTTCGCATTTTTCATGTAAATATTACAAATGAAGCATTGCTGAACTATACAATTTTGCAAAGTCAATGCAACAAAAGATACAAAGTGATTATATATGATTAATACTGGATTGTCAACAAAATTGGCATCACAAAAGGAAATTAAATTTTTTACAAAGGAAATATTTGTCTTCCTGTGTTTAAACAAATATATTCTAAAACAGCTCTCTGATTTCTTAAGTATCTCTGATACAATTGCATTCAAAATGTGCACTTGTCAAAGTGTAATAGGCAAGTATTTCAAATTTAAAAAAAAAATGAACAACTTTGAGCATTTATTTTCATTCTCGAGAAGTAATAAAACCGAGGAATTATTGTTATCGTCCAAGTCATAATCAATTACCTTATTTCCTTGTATACTAACCTGTGAAAAGCATCTGCCCTTTCCCCATGTTGTGAGTGCCTTTCTGAGTCAACCAAGTAGCATCTGATCGCACTGAACTCCCGCCGTGTGATACGGACGAACTACGACGGGAGTCTGTCACTGACTCCGCTGGCATGACCTTGCTGGACCCGGACAGTTCGCGAAGAGCTTACACTATGATCTCGCCGGTTTGGCTACGAGTTGCCCGACTGTCACTGGCTTTCGTGGGTTAACGTACAAGTACAGTGAAGAATGTGCACATACACTGAAGAGAAAGCAGTTAAAATCACTCTCTCTTCGATGAAATGTTTATTGTGGAAGTTTCTCTAAATTGGAACAGTTCGACTCGGTCTCAAGCCGTCTTGCCATCTTTAAAAAATTTGGATATGATTATTTATGACTGCACAGCTCACAGCCGCCTTACATCTGCGGTATCTCTCCATGGTCTCACGCATTGTATTTCCTTATTTTGAGGACCTAGTGACAGACAAATCGACCAGTCAGCTCTTTTGTTTGCTATTGTACTTTTCCTCTGGAGCTATCAGGGCTGTAATACAATAAGCCCACGTGAGGTTCGGTACATGCTAAGTTGGCTCAGCGGATTGGCTTGCCTGATGACACCGGGACGCCACGGCATACGTTGCTAGGCGATTGACCCGTCAGTCGCACCGTATGGGAGCATTAATCAACGGTGTAATTGAACTGCTCATGCGCAGTAGTTTTCAATGTCTTTCATAAATAGCTAGAGGGCGCGCTGAATAACATCTGTGAACAGAAAATTGTTCTTACATGTATGAATTTGATGGAAAATTTCGTTGGAGAGTCTTGTAGGAATGAAAACATACCTCTGTTAGTCTATAATTCATTCTACTAATGATGCCAATTTTACTGATTTCAACAGCATTCCCAGATTACATTATGTAATAATGTGCCTTTGGCCTAGGTTTAAAAATTTCGCCACACTTTACTTTAATTAAGTGAGCGCGTACAAACTTCTTGTTAATTACGCGTGGGAATGATTTAACATTACAATCCCAAACGTTCGTCAGTCCACAGGTCTTTGGTTACAAAGATCAGAGAATTTTCCAGTAAAATTAAACGAAGCAACAGAAAGTGAAAGATGAAAAGACCCTTCACGTTTATTTGTATCGCGCATCGTCAGTACTTTAAAGATGGACGTCCGAATACTATTTCCTCTATCAAATCTGAATTCCATTTACACCTTACGTATAACCAAGGGCTGATTCTCCAGTCCACCAGAGGGAAATACAGAAGTACAGCAAAGTAATATTGTACTTCGTAAGACCAAGGTATAACAGGCATGCGATCAATTTTATACTAAATGCACCAGCCACATTAAATTCAAAGCGAGGCTGGCTCTTTATTTCTGAAATTTGAGAGTCGAAATTACAGCAATAAAATTTCACAAGTTGTCTAATTTCAAGAATAATTAAGGATTTGTTTTTAGACAACTCTGTTTTCACCGAAAATTAAAAATGAGACTTGGAACGCGTGCAAATCAGAATGATCTGGCACCGTCCGAACACTTCTTTAGTTTATGACGGAATTTAAAGAACGTATGCGAAAATACCTCGAAATAGCTTCCTTGTGAATAACATCTGTAAAGAATCTACAAAAAGTGTTACTTGTATAAAGCCGATGAGACCCAATCATTAACCAGTAATTTCTTTATCCGACCTCATCTATTATGACTTGTTTCTTAACACCCTGTTTCGTAGTTCACAGTACCAGTGTTCTCAGCCTTTAACGTTGATCCAGGTGTATGATTGAACTATTTACAGAATAGCCACTTGTAATAGCGTTCTACAGCGATAAACACATTCGTTACCAGTCCAAGACGAATACCAATTAAACGCCAATAGCTAGTCCCATTGTTGCAACACACAAGAGATTGCTATTTCTTAAGTTTGTCTATTAGGTGTGCCTATTTTATAAATATAATTTAAATAACTTTGTTTTTTTACATATAAAACAACCTACACCGAAGCCTTGAGAGCTCGGCAAAAGCAATGTGAAACTTCCACAGAAAGTGAAAGAGAGCCGACATTAGCTCCTATGTACCTACTACACTTTATCATTATCGTCGCGCGTGAGTTATCACATCCACAATAGTGCATCAAATAATTTACAGTAAAAAGTAATATTCTGTGATGATCTTTCAACTGCAGGTAATGTCGATCATTTATATCGACACTACGTAAAACCCTCTCGATGTTATTTCTGCATGTAGGCCTATAAGCTTGGATTTCAGACACATGCTCCTCTATGTCAAAGCTATTTCTCATCATTAAACCACACTTGTGACGTCACCCTGTTCAGTAAAGTGTCAATTATTCTTAAGAACGTACAGTTAACTGTAGAAAGTACAGTTTTTAAGAATGTAGAGTGTAGACATTCTTCAGAAGCGACTTGATACACAAAGAAAAACAATTGTAACATTAAATTACAAGGTCAAACACCGTAAGAAATGCTCTCAACAATAAAGCATATTGTTTTAGACGTTCAATATGGTTAATATTCAAATTTTTAGATTTGACAAGGTAACATTTTCTGTTGAGATTAGCGATTTTCAATTAAAGCGAACCGCTCCTTACGTTGCACTATATAATGTTTTTATAATGTGTCTCCTTTATTTTTACATACCTTTTGAATTTATTTCCATTTTTACAAATCCATTTTAGTTTATTTCATCTTTTTTTTTCATTTTATTTAGATATTTACGAATTTTTTTTAATTATTTTTAACCTTTTTCTTTGTGTAGTTATTTTGAAGTTTACATGTAGCCACTTTACTTTCGGTTAACCCTAACCATGTTGAACCCAACAAGGTTATTCGGGATTTCAATGGTCCCTAGGGTATTACCTCAGTTTTACCCCTTTCCCTGTTTAAAACAACTTTTAAAAACAACTTCAGCAATCACAATTCATGTAAAATTTTACAAAACAGATTAATCGTTTAGAAACTTACGTATGACGCTTCCCAGATGAAGGAGATGATATGCCAAACGCATGTATTTTCCAAACGGAAGAATATCCTTTGGTGACTGGGAGATTTCAAAGAGCAAGCGTGTACTTCCAAAGTTGTAAACGTAATCTTCATTTGAAGAGAGAGTAAAGTGTAGTTCTCAAATCAATCACTCGGGAAACTTGCTTGTTGGTGGTGTAAATTAAGGCCCCCAGCTCCGTACAGTCATATCGATAGCCTTTGCTAACTTAAATTTAGCGTATTTCTGCAACTAACATATAGATATAAATCCATATGGACCGTGCCATACACTGATGGTGTCGACTGCATGTCTGTGTGTAACTTCGTGTAAAGCATGTACTGCGTCTGTGAATGAAAAATAGTTGTGCACCCAGCCGAGGAGTTACTCAACGGCTTAATTAGAACAGGAATGAAGCTTTTATGTACATGCAAATATCAAAGCCAGCCAACGCTTGACAAATGATGGATTCATCTCAAAGCATCAGTAAAGCCTTTTTGTTCTTTTGTACAATATGAACAAAAGTGGAGGGAGGGCCGTGGTTTAAGTCGGAGAAACAACTCAAAAGGTGGAGATTCTTTGATTCAAATGGCTTGGATGCTTTGCGTTCTCGCCCATTCGAATCAAAGAATCTCCACTTTTTCGTCGTTTCTCCTTAACTTAAACTCAAATAATTTTGGAGAAAAAAACCGAACTGAGTAGTCTGAACTGGACCCGCCTGGATGGAGGAGAAAAGTATGCAAAACATGCATATTTTTTTTTACGAAATAACCACGAAGTTGACCTATTCTGCTGCTATTTTAGAGGAGGCTACTTCACTTTTGAAAATCCATGTTTCTTCTTGTACATTCTGATAACTTATATCATAAAAAACATGGCTTTGGCTTCCAAAGATTAAGTACTATATTTGTTCCGTTCAAGTAAGGGGCTGTCCACATGTGCGTATAAAACGTCGACTACTTAACCCCCGGGCGGTATTCGTGGCATTATATGGTTCCGATTTCTCTTCTCTTTTACGCAAATAATTCTATGTTTCTCTTTGACGTATTAGACTGGTCTCTTGTACTGAGAACATGTAAATGGTAGGGGAAGGTACTGTATATTAACGATTGTTTATGTGAATGTGCATGATAATGTACGTGATCATGTAACAGATGCAAAATTAGAGTTCCGTTTATTTTCCGTTGCATTGCCTCGACCCCTGTCGCTGTAGGTATACACAAAGTCACGCCCGCCGTAAGTTTGGGTACTTCATGGACGGCCCCTAATATCTCTTGTGACCGAAATCTTCTCACTCAGTTATCACCTGGATGGTCATGAAGTCGGCCGTTCCAACACGTCTACCTGCAGATCAATTATATCATGGTAGAAAAAAATGATACGAGGCTTAAATTTTGCTGCAGGTTTTGTACCCAGATAAGTAGACAAGTCGCTTTTTTTTAATTAAGGTATTTTCACCCCCGTCAAGGGTATTTTAAAATTTCCATGCAGGATACCCTGATACAAAATGGTTTTAGGCTTCATCCCCGGTATCAGATTCGCTCTTGGGCCTCCAATACTCAAAGCTAAAACGAAAATGCTTCCATTTGTCGATTGATAGTACACAGTGCAATGAACCTTTTGCAAAATATGAAGCTGAAAACAAATGTCCAAAGTCAGAAGGATTATAGATAGACACTGCTTTCGAATGTGCAAGATCTGTGAGAAAGCACGACATTAATTATTGTTCAACCTTTATACCTGATGCTGACACCTCACTCCAAGTAACAGGCTTCGTAGTGTTGCTGTACAAGATGGTGAACGGTTTTATCCAATCACAGGCAGGCTCCTGACCTGCAGCGAGGAGCCACCCTATGTCATCTGAGCACTTGGCAGAAGATTTGTTGATAAGAAATCTTCGTCCTGGCCTACAAAGAGGAAGGAAATCTGCAACATCGCACGACGAGAGACTTTGAACCAAAAGATATATAGCCCGCTTGCGGTTCAGCACATTGTCAAAGATATATTTGTCTCGATCCCACGAAATGAGCCTTATATTCAAAATTTAACTTATTTTGTTTTTCACCGAGTTATTATGCCAATGTTTTGGATAGAGCATTGATAGAGTACGAGGTTGTAGAAAGCAGAGAGTACCGGTATAGTATGAATTGAATGCTTGCCAGATTGTTACCTACCACATCTGGTTGCCGCTTATAGTAAAGACGCTAGCGAGGCTACCCGGTGGATCGATTTTGAACCAAGGAGAAGAAAGTAGTCGGTGTTTGCTGAACCAGTCAGTGATGTTAGATTTTTTCCCACTGAAGATTAACTGAGCTACTGGATTTTCTTCATCGACGCGGAAAAGGGAAAGCTTCACCTTGAAACCATTTTCAAAGGGATATATGTAACCACGGAGATAAAACGCATGTCGAGTGCCTGTAATAAATACGGGCGATGCACAATAGTTCGCCTCCAAGAGTTTGCAAAGCGTTGGCCAATCACAATGCGCGAAATATGTCCACCCAATGCACGTTTGGAAAGGGTCGACAAATTTCGCGCGTTTCGGACTGTCCAACGCGTTGCAAACTCTTGGGGGCGCACTCTTGTTGAATCAGTATTTATCTGTGGGGCAATTTTTAAACTGTTAATGAAACGCAAGGGTTCTCCAGGAGTCCAAAGGAACCCTTGCTCACACACCTGAAGAAACTTACATAAAGAGAAAGAGACAATTGCAACCGAAAGAGTAGAAACAGCAACAAGAAGAAGAAGCAGACCGAACCACTGAACCTCTCTTTCAAAACTGAGCCCCAATAACGCCCCCCCCCGTCCGCCAGGTGGACCTTGATGCCTGGTGATTACAGTGACGGTACACTGCTTAAAACGTAACGGCATAAATAGGTGAACCTACCAACTTTATTTGGCCGTTCCGACGGACCCAGGTCTCGTAAATGGAACTATTCCTGAAGATGCCTTCAGCGTCTACGGTTGAGTCCCAGTGAGGGTCCATCCACATTTCATAGAGGCTACGGTTTGACCCTCGTTTGCCCGCTACTCCCTTGAATACGAGCTGCCACTGTGGCGATGCTGTGAGATATCAAAAGAAGACCAGTATAACGCGTTATCACCCCATCTGTCCTACCTGATGAGTAAAAGATTACCAGAACTGTACTTCTGCATCGCTTCTTTAAACAAATCTTGTGCTTAAAACTTAGAACTGGGACTTTTGGACCTCTGAACCCTTTACAATGTCGGCACTTTAATGCCCCAAATCAAGAATTTCAGAAAGGTCACGGGTATAAAATTACCCAGAAGGGGACATATTGACCGAGGTAAATGTGTCCTCACGGACACTAATACCGGGGTGCGATCCGGTAAAAGTGTCCGGGGGACCATTTTGCCGTCTACACTCCCACTTATTATCTGGCGACCGCCATTTAATTAAGTGGCGGCCGCCACTTAGGCCTATTGGTGTAAAAAATGTACACGCGGTGTTCAAAAAGAAGTTCCCATGCTATCCCTTGGCAATATCCATTTTTCTAACGAACTGACCGAATAACGTGGCTGCAGCTTTAAGTCGCACGCGATTCTGTGGGAAGCAGCTTCATATTCGATGAACTCATGAGTACTTAAAGACGAGTAATAAGTTGTGTAATAATTCAGACACGGCACGAGATAGTCAACTGGTGTACGTACGCTCTGAGGCGGAGCAGGTGGGAGTCGAGCAACAGTAAGCTTTGGTACGGTTATGTGGCCTCGGGGTATTGGGAATAAGACCTTGGTCGCTGCTTCCCTTTACGAAGTAGTAACACTCGCTTGGGTCGGCGCCGTAGTCCTCACCGCACGGTTTCACCTTGGCGTCTCTCCCTTATGCATCGTACAAACACCAGTCGTCATCTGCAAAGCCGGCATCGTAGGCAGCCTTGAGCTGGGCCAACGTGCAAAGATGCAGGCCATACTGCGAGCAGCCGTCCCGGGCAAGAGACAAATTCGCACTTGGGTACTTCTCTCGGGTTTTGATGAATGTCGAGAATCCTGATTAGAACGTTAAACAGATAAATACTCAGTGCTCATGTGCATGTTTGACTCATTCGATGCGCATTCCACCTATACTAAGGAGCTGTATATGGATATTTTTGCGGTTGTGTCGTACCAAGAATCTCTTTGTGAGTTGGAAAGATTCCGAAAGGAATAGCCAGATTCTTCATTCCGGACATTATGCACTGCGCATGGTTAGGTACTTAAAGGTACAGTCCATCATTTGCAATTATGCAAATGATGCTCATTATGCAAATTATGTGCAATCATGCAAATTATTGAAACGTGAGCATGGAAACCCACAATGTAGAGGCTACACCCATTTCCCATTGACATGTGTGGCATTAGCAGCCGCAGCCAAGAAATTTGGCACGGCTTGTCGCTTAGATATTAAGCCAAAGGAGTCGGAGAACGGTCAGCGTTTGATATACCGTGATCCTCTGACACTGGTCAACTTGACATTTTAACTTGTAATATCAAATCACGCATGACTACGCACCTCTGAGATTCTTATGGTCCTAAATTGAAATGGCCTAGATCCACGCCGGTTGTGGACAGCCAGCAAAGGTTGATGACATTGGTGAGGTTTAGGTGACAAGCGGAAAATAAAGCTAAAGCAAATTTAATGGGGATTTACAACCACGAAGTACATGTACATGTATTGTGATAAATACGGGGATTCCGAATAGTGCACCTCCAAGAGTTTGCAAAGCGTTGACCAATCACCATGCGCGAAATCCGTCGACCCTTTCGAAACGCGTACTTGGTCGACAGATTCCGTGATTGGTCAACGCGTTGCAAACTCTTGGAGGCGCTCCATTGTGGAACGCCAGTATTTGTTGAAATCTTAATGATGCATGCACATTTATGCCACGGTAAAGTGAAACTCGGGACATCGTGATGGGATAAATTCACTAATAATGATTGATTTATCCCATCTTACTGAAGACCTCACAGTCTGATGATTTAAATAATGCCTATTTACCGTTCGGGTAGTTTTCCACGCAAAGAGGCTCTTGCTTTTTAGAGGGAAAGCAACCGAGAGAAACATTGGCAAGCTGAAAAAGGGGTAAAAATACGGAGTCAGAAATTTTGTTTTTCAAAATTACACGCATAAATAAAAATAACAACAATATCATCATTATTGACTTTAAACGCCAACCCATCCCTGAATCCTTTTGCGGTATTATACATCCCTTCTGGCGCAAACGGCTGATTGAAGGCATACAGCCATCTCTACGGGACCATGCAGGTAGCCTTTAACACTCCTGGGTGGAGAGAGACAGGTGAGGCCAGTGAAGTGACTTGCCGAAGGTCTCAAAATCTAACCAGCCGCTGTATTGAACCCCCAACACATACATCTACTGGCCATATTTGAATTAGGAGGGCGTTATTTGAAGTGGGTTCGTTTTGCCATACTTTGAATAGGCTAATTATGTTCCTTCGATCTCATAACTCAGTTCTCAATTCACACATTCATAACAGCTATAGCCGCAACCCTTACGATTATATCGTCCTTGCTCAAACTAGCCTTCCCTACCGTTGCCATGGTTTTGGCACCAGGAAGGTAGGAGATTTATTTTTTAGCTGGAAAAATTATCACCAAGGACACGCACCTGAAATTGCCACCGTCACTCAAAGCATCGCTTACTTCGCCAAAAAAGAAGACCGATCACGCTTCTGTGTTACTAACATTTCACCCTAAGCGTGTAGATAACATGGACATGTATTCTCTTTCAGGGGGCAGACCCAGTACACGCTTTAGCTTTTTGTCTGACCCCCAATACTATTATAAATTTAGTTTTGTTAACTTCTATATTAATTAATGGAAATTAACCTGAAACCTGAAACAATTTTGAAGACAAAATTGTCTCCAAAAATAGGCCTCTACCCGCAAGTTAACCTTCATTAATATTGTCTCCTCCTGTTCTTACACGTCAAGCTTCCCTCAAGGCTCCATTTGTAAATTCTGAATCCGCCAATGCAAAACACCGCTACAATAAAAGTTACCGGTAGTGTTTTTCACTAAGAGGTGTTTATAATAAGTTGGATTTCAGTCACCAACGGACGCTTAAAGAAGTACAGTCAGGTATACCTAGAATTACATCCTCCAAATTCACCATTAGGATAAGAAAAGGAAAACATCTTTTTCTGTTGTCGCATCCAAGATATGATTTCGGGCTACATGTATTTAAAATGTCTCATGGCGCAGAACCCTATGCCTTTCATTTTTATCAATCCCGTGTTGAATCTATAATCCACTTTCTCTCCCAGCTTTTGCTTCTACCAACATCCCAATTTTAGTCATCAATATTCAAGCCTTTCTCCATCTTAGCTGCCTTGCGCCCAGTGACGAATCCAGCGGTGAGTGGGGCGAAGCTGGTAGGCTGCCCCCATGGAGAAATGTTGCCAATTGTAGAGGAATTGAAAGTACCACCACTGTAGGAACGGTACATGTTCCACATGTTCATAGATGTGAGTAAAACGACAGCGGTTACACCATGGATCAATCTCTTTCTTGAGTATGTGTGGTTCGGAGAAGAACCGGGGAATAACTCGACATTTCGAACAGTGTACTCTGTCAGTCTTCAGGAGACCGCAGGACTGGGGGTGGAGCTTATATGGTGTAGAGACGAGGGATCCAGATGTAGGGATTAGCGGGAACAAGGCATGCTGCGCTGGATCCTGGAACTGCATAACCTGAGTGTGTGCTTACTCAAGTGTGTCAGTTGGGGTTTGCAGTGGGAGAGTGAACAGCTGGGTGCCAAGGGTAGAGAAGACCCATAAGGCCAACTAAGGAGGGAACCTAACTGGGGAGTCCTTGGGTACAGAAGACCCATTGGACTGGGATGTGAGGATGGGGCGCCAGATATCGCTGATGCTGAAGCCGATGCCTTGGGGAACCGAGTTATGCTTGATGGTTTCTATGGCTTCCCTGATGCGGCGGGGATACCATCGTTCGATGATGGTGATGAGTTCAACTTGGATCCAGTTGATCCGGATCCCTCTTTTCACCATATAAGCTCCACTCCCACTCCGAATCCTGCAGTCTCCTGAAGACGGACAGAGTTCACCGTTTGAAACGTCGAGTTATTCCCTGGTTCTTCTCAGAACCACACATACTCAAGAAAGAGATTGATCCATGGTGTAACCGCAATCGTTTTACTCATATAGTTCTTTCACCATGAAAACCTTCAGGTCTTATGTTCTTAGACGGTGAATGATTCTTCCACTCATAAATGAAATGTGAATAAGCGTTTCTGGAAACCGCCTTTTAGCCCGGCCTCCCTTACGCCATAGTCTGCAATTACTTACTAATTACTTAGTACTTTTAAACAATGGAACAAAAGGGGTAAAGGGAAGGACTTCATAAAGATAATCCCGAGTGAAATGGAGGTAGGTTTACTTACCTCGTTGTGCAAATAAGAGTAGAACCATCCTGGCACCTGCACCAGACGGTCGGGCTTGTTGTGGTGAGAGGCGTTGTAGACGAGTTGGCATCGGCCGGTCAGCATCTCGTAGTTGACGGACTCGCACCAAGGGGTGGCTTTGCAAACACCGTGGCAGACCCCCTGAGTGATGTTCGTCAAGCGGGAGGTGTGGTTAAACCCAACCAAGGCAGAGTCGACTACGCCGCACCACCGGCTAGAGCAGGTTGGAGCGTCGCCCACAACAGCTGAGACAATTGCCGTTAAGAGAAGTGCCGTGAGAACGCACGATGTACCATCTCGCAAAGCGTCCATTTTTGCTAAGAGACAATCTCGGCGGTGAAGCAACAAATTCCCTCTTATTGCCAAGGGCACTGCTGCAGATTTTTCCTGCGGGGGAGACCACTTTTTTCCGGGGGGAAATTTCCTAGGTATCAAAATACTCATTGGCTACGAACTGCTAAACCATAAACGATAGGAGAGGACAATTTTTAGTTTTTTTCCCCAAGCTAATTGATGATTTTCACCCCGTTTCATTTCTTTCTTTTCATTCTGTTACTTTTCCTTTTATATCTTGTTATTCTAATTTATTAGGGGGGACAAACGCCCCTTCATATTTACTATGAACTTCACTCTTTTAGCTCGTCGAGCCGTGATGCCAGCATCAGCAATAGAGGAAAAACAGCATGTAGCCTACATGTAAACAGAACACCAAGGAACCTTATATGGATTAATAACTATCCTCCGAATTCCTCTTTAAAGCACAGTTTGGCTTTTGGTTTTTCCAGTTTAACATCTCTTAAAAATTTGACTTGAAAAGTAGAATGGGAGACAGCCCTATTCCCGCCATCTAACCCTTCTCCCGTACTTTAAGAATCATTCAAGATGTCCGAGTTGTGATAGCCGTATGCAACTCATAACGTATGCGGGCTAAGCCCCACATAGGATTAGGGAATATATGATATATTTTTTACGTGATTGACTGAAAAATTCCCTACACCCAATAACCCGTCGTGTGGGTAATTGGAGGCGAGAGGGAAGTATTTACCAAGTCTCTAATTTTGTGGGAAATAAGGAAGATTTCTTGACTGTGTGCAACCAATGGCCAATCTGTCTATGTGGCATTGGAGATGATACCTTGCGTGGGACCATATTTTGTGAGGACGGGGTATGCGCAGGTTTCACAAACTCGGCTTACATAAAAGGCCCCAATGCACGGCGGAATTACCAGTGAAATATTCATGATGGGGAGAGAGTACACTGTACCTTGGAATTAAATGGTTAAACAGCTAACTGCATATACTTCATTTGATATGTTTATCCAAGGAATTTTGCACTCTGAGAGCAGCTCCAGGTACCTGTTTGTGGCCCCCATGCAAAGTACACAGAAGACCTCGTGACTGACTTTCAGATATCGATCTGTGAGAAATACCAAAGTGAGGCAATAGCCAGTGAACCTGCCAGTACAGTCATCATCCATGTTCCGATCGCTAGTCCGCGGTGGTTTCCGAAGCATTCTGCTGGGAATCCCGACACTGACCCCTCCAGTTGTATCCCCTCCATAGGTAGACGGTGTGCGGGTACCAGCATACATGATTGTATTTTGTTATTAACTGGCATTTTGTCACTCAGTAAGTCATTTCCATTACTCGCGAACAACTTGGTATTACGTCTCTCTTAAAATGCTATAATACGCTAAAAGCTTTTTAGAATTTGAGTAAGACCGGAAATGGATTATGGAACCATTCACGACTAAGCCAGATCTGCAACTGTTTGAAACCAGTGGGCCAGTAATGGCGATGTTAAAACTGTTACCGCGAACTATTTTCAAGATGTATTTTTGCGTTGGGGAGATGTTAATTATATATATAATTGTACGGGCAAAACCGTTATATATATAGTCAAAACTGTTGTAATATTTTTTTACTTTTCATTGACGAGCAAAACGTTTGTTTTGTTTTTCTTTGTCTTCTTTATGAAATTTGGTAATACTAAGAAATCGACGTCATCAACTCAAAGCAAAAAATAAGAATAAGGAAGAAACCAAATAAAAGGTTAGCATTTGTCAATAAAATGGCAATAATTATGCAGGTGTATCAAAAGAAGTGGAAACTTAAATTAAACAAAACCTCTGTATATTAATTATTCATTTGTATGCAGAATTTGCGATAAAAGTACAAAAAGAATTTCGGACAATGAAATTTGCGTTAATGTGCCTTAAAAGGCAACAGCTTTACAAGATCAAATTGAATTACGGTTTATAGATGCAGAGCCCGCATCAACTGTATGAACCATTATCCCTTAACACATTATTTTGGTCGTTAAACTCGCAATCCCCCAGTCCAAAATGGAATCTTCCGACAAATGTCTTGAAGCCTGACTTGAGTGGCTATAAATACGGACAGCCCTTAATAAATTTCTCATTATAGCAACGAAGTACACTCTTCCGGAATAGTTGTCTTCTGTTTTACACAATTTACAAAATGCACGTCAGCACTTTATTACTTCTGGTTTTGGTGGCAGCGGTGGGATACTATGTGGACGGCAAAAATTGTTGTTTTCCATCACGCTACAGGGTGAGCACCGGTAAGCTTCAACTTTTGATAAAATATTCTCTATAAACTTTCTCCATTATTTGATACAGAATTTCATTCTTCTGTGCAATATCCCTCTGTAAAATAATGCAACATATAAAAATGTGAATGGTTTTTGTTGTGAGTCTTTTGAAATATGTATTCAACAATTAAAGTACATCCTTATCTCTGTTGTGTCTTGCCTGCCCTGGTCAGTGGGTGGAATCTTCTACGATCCCGGTAGCATAAAGCCCAGGCTCGAGATCGCCGCTATCGTTGCTCGGGACGCCGCGCGGAATGTGGTGGGGACCAAGAGGAAATCGGCCGAGGTGGAAACGGGCAAGAAATGGGTCACCCGCAAGGTCAAGAAATTTGACGCGGTAGGTAGTACGTTGGCTTCCCGAGTGATTCCGAAAGGGGATTGTGCATTCACAGTCAGTCGTTTTACTAGTTGGCCGTCCAGTTTGCCACCGACACTGGACCAGTCTGTAAAAGATAACATTGCGAGAATTGGCCGCTGAACGCTGATTGACTAATGATTAATCCAAAGGGTCGCAGTCAGAGTCTCGAGACATTTTTGAGTAACCCGATTACAACATTCCGGCCCATGTTTATGGTTAGTAAGTGAGGAACAGTTTACACGGATGATTTGGTTAGAAATGGATGTAAACATGAACAAGGGTGTTCAATGTTTGAAAAGCCTCGTGGTTAATGTCAACTCCATTCACTTGTTTTGTCTTGATGATCGTCCTGAAGAAACAGCCAATGAAACCTCCTATAAACCTTACGCTCAATCATTAATTTTCATACTAAAGTGTGTAAGAAGTGGTTGATGGTTGTATTCCTCCAGAAAACACTGACTGCCAAAGTTTGGACAATTCTCACCGTTGGGAACGAGACAACATGCAGACTTGATGTGGTACCAGGTGTCGACAACCCTTGCATACCCGGTAGGTCATTTGTGGGTTTGACTGATGAGTGTAGAGACCAGGATGAACATTTTAGTGGGGTCATTCGTTTCGCATTAATTCATGGGCATTGGCAGCCCATAAACAGCTTAAACAATTAGTACCAAACGTATGTTTCTTAAACTCACTGTAACAGAATAGTCTGATCGAAGTTTCGTGAGCTGAAATTAATTTCCCCTTAAAACAGACAAAATACGACCTAAATCCTGTGGGCATAGATTTGATTGGAAATAACTTAAAATTGCTGGTGAGAATCTAACTGATGACTATAAGTGATTGAAAAATGAAAAGCAAGTATTCATGCCTGGATGGAAATTTCATGCAACCATGTATAGATGTGACGGGAAACCACAATTTTATTCATATGGAGTACACTACGTGAATATGAAAGAGACGTTTAACAAAACAGAGATTTCTTCAACTTTGCCCAATATCTCCAATTCCTCAAATTGCATGGGTCGAAATGTTGATATGCACCAACCGATTTCAAATTTTGTCCTGCAGACAGTTTCACACGGCTGGAGCCGATCTGGTACGGCAACCTTACCGGGGAGTCGCTCATGATTGATCGCTACCAGCTGAAGTCCATCGTGCCCAGAGACGGCTCGGACGAATGGTTCGAATACACAGTGTTCGTCGCCCCCAAGCCCGATGGTACTTGCGTTCTCACCAATGAAATGAAAGAATACACGACGCCAGATGGTAGGGGCGGCTTCGTTTCTCTACATTAAAATGCATTAGCACAACCAACTTATGAAGATGCGGGTAGTAGGTAATGGATACATTTCCGGTAATGGTAGTGGTGCAGTGCGTGAGAAACTTTTCCGGGGTGGCGGAGAAGGGATAAACGCTTTCGAATACTACAACAGGCACTCTTTCGCTTCGATGTGGGTAGTTTTTGTTTTCCTTGGGTTTTCTTACCGTACCGAAACTTGGCCTGCCGGTTTAGCCTATGTAGCCTTCGTAGATGGAGATGATGATTCTGATCATCCATGTTTTCAGACGGAGGTTAGATCTACATTTTCATGCCCTCTATTTCTAGGTGTAGCCGGCTATCTCCGTAACTATGGCAACTTTAGCGTACCAAAGACCGATGCTGGATTTGCCGATCTCTTCTACGTTCCGGAGGATATATGCCCAATGGAGGTTAGTTATTCTTGAAAGAGTTCACAGACGGAACGCAACAATGGGAAGATCTCACAAAGCACTCGCTCTCAATTTGCAATTAACTTTAATTGAAAGAATTCATTACACATGCGTGATAACCACAGCTTCAGTGATAAATATTAAAGACTTTACCTCAGCTTTCCCGCCAATTAAAGAGACTCCCGTCTACGTGTTGTACAGACTGTTATGAGCAGAAAATTCAGCGCAGACTGAAAGCCATTTTCTCGAGATTTTTTGCAACACATAACAAGGACGAACTGCCAAATATTGATGTTGATTCGTGAAAAACCAACATAAAACGAACAAGGAGTCGTTTAGGTTAAACTAAACTGACCATAACAAACGGATGGGTATTGATTTGAAATATTCACGTTTTCACAAAAACAAAAACAGATTCAGTGCTGTAGTCGAGACCCCCAAAGATAATAAGTTTCTAGCTATTCGACAGAGGAGATTAACTTTGTTCATAAAACTGACTGGTAATAACGCCCTTCCATGTGTGTACTTCCATTGACCATTCTGATGAAGTTACCCCATTCTCATGAATCTCTTCAATTTGGCCGGATACAGCTCGATGTCGCAGCACCCAAGAACCTGTTTGAAGAGTACCTGAAGAGCGATAATTGGATGTTCTGAGGACTTCATCTCTACGTAGTCATGGTATCAGCTTTGGCAGACTGCGACCGACAATGTCTCAAACTGCACATTTTTTTCAATACCCGAATGGTCTATAGACGCTGAGATGCCAGACCGACGTCAACGGGCATCTCATTGGACACTGTTTTATAAGCGTTTTCCACTGTTTACATTTTAAGATGAATTCCAAAGTTAAGTGATGTCTCCTATTGTCTTTAATTGTTTATGAAAAAAAGATAATTATCACCCAGATAAGTTAATTACAGGGGTAAACACAATTAGGCAATTATTACAAAAGTAAGGAGGAGTTTAAGCAACTTTTAGAGTATCCATCAGTTATAAAGTCAACGGGAACCAATAAGTGTACAAGTTGTGAAACTACACGTAAATCGAATCTATGAAAAAAGGGTACTTTCCTTTTTGTTGTGTAAAAAGTGGGCATTGAAGAAGTCCTGTACCTTTGCCCTTTCCGATATCCTGAAAAATTTCTTTTCAGTGTCCAAGTAACTTTAAATTGGTCAGTAGTTATTGGTCGATGAACATATTTTTCTCTAATTTGCAGAACGACATATTCTTCTTGGTGTAGGACCGTTAAACTCGAAGGCATCTTGTAATGGTCAGTCAGCTATCATGGTGAATAAAAGTTGGAGACTGAATGCCTCCCGTCGAAAACGCACTGTGATATTAAAAACTTTTCTATCTGAATAATTTAACGGTATGTTTGTAATTATTTCTAACGCTCTATTTCTCTCCTGGTGCCCATCCGCTTGTTTGTGAGTCCTGACATGGGACTCAGAGCCTTGGCTTTAAGCAATATGTGTGCATTGATTTCTAAATTTATGTTTGGGGAGCATATGAACAAGAGGTATGGAAGCGGTGAAAATATACAAGTACTTGTAACCAGCTACAGACTATCACAGACTTAGGCCTAACATGCATAAAGACTCGGTGCTGAGACAATGTTTCCCTATATAGTGCATTCAGGAAAAAAGGGTAGACCATTTGAGCGCGGAACGCGATTTTTCACCAATGGCCAAGTGTCCTACATAAGTCTTCATTTTTTTTGCAGATTTGTTGGCGGAAAGATTCTATTCAAATTGTAGATTCAATGCTATATTATTTAGGTGACGAATACGCTCATTTTGGGTGGAAATCTGTCTTATTGCATACACGATGCTATAGGAACAAAATCATGATTACTATCGGTACATTCACTACACGGATGACAATACCGGCAGGGAGAACCAGAAAGTCGGACTAAAACTACTTCTCAAGCTTTGCTCAATTCCAAATAAAATGTGTTTCATGCAGACATCAAATCACCAGGCAAAATGATTTTATTATTTTTTTTATTAATGTCGGCCATTATCCTTCCTAACGCTATTTTATCTAAAGCCGGATTACATCAACATGGCCTTGTTGAAATCGGCATTAATAAGCTCCACAGTATCCATGGTCTACAGGGAGACAAACAGGCAAAGGGGTCAAACCAGTAGGACCATTACGTCAGAATGACGACACGAATGCTGCTGCAACAGTGATTCATTGTTCACAGCACATTCTCTGAATTTAATTTACCAAACTTGAAGGACAGAATAGGCGCGGACCTCGTGGCGCGATGTTAATTTCCATGCACAGTGCCGCTGCGGGCCCCGAGCGGGACTGCAAGAGGGCGCAAGTTTCTTAGCAACGGGGATTCCTTTGGTCAGAACTGAACTCCTCCCGTTCACGAACGATAAGAAGTGCACGCGTCATGGTCGAATCGGTAGCAACAAAATGAACACTCCTGACCAACGGTGGCTGTTTTCAACCGATGAGGGGGTGCTTCTGCTCAAGGCGGATACGATCATACAACCAAACGGCCCCCAAATGGGACTCTGCCTATTTCCTAATATCCCAAGGTTCAATGGTAAAGGTTGGTATCAAAATTTTGCCCTTGACCAATCGAACTGGGTATAATTTATTCAACATTCGAAGAGCTTCTTGCGGAATTATATAGGACATGACTAAAAAAATATTTGCGGCTTACAAATTGGCAAGGTCGGGTTACTATTCCGCCAGGGAGATATACTAATCTGCCCGGGCGGAATAGTAGTCCGCCTGTGCAAACCAATTTTTTTCTCATATCTCGTGGAAACAAACAAAAGAAAGTAAAAAAGAATAAAAGAACAAAGCTAATAGCAGGATTTGATTGCAGTTACCAGTGGAGATTTGCCATAGAAGTGGGTAAACAATGAAAAAGACCAGCAAAGTTTATCTTCATATGTTCTCAAGACAAAGGCCATGGCGTCGTCGTGGGGGAGGGAACGCTTGCCCCCAGGGAGAAAAACCAAGATATTTCAGAACAGGACCACTTTCACTGTCAATGATTCATCAAATTACCTTCTTCCTCCCCACCGACAATGCCTCAACCAGAGAAAAATATTCCTAGCGACGTTCATACCGCCGAGTATATACTTACGCTTTGCTGACAGTGGCGGGGCATAAGGAGCAGTCGACCGAATTCCCTGGGATCGGTGACAGTGCGAAAGTTGGAGTATTTCAACCGTCTCCTGCACTATCCAGATTCACGCATTTTGCAGCTCTCTCATGGCCATTTGAATGGGATTCTCACGTCAAATAACAGTCACGTTCAGTTCAGATTAGTTAAAATCAGATCAAACTGTGTCATCTCACCGGTCTTTGCAACGAAGCCCTCTCGATGTAAAACACAGTTGCTGTCAATGCACATCCAGCCCACGTGACGATCATCCTCAATACTGACGTACCTTGTGGAGCCCGCTGGGCACTTAAGTCTCGTCAGCACGGGCGCCTTTTGGGCTGGCAGAAAACAAAAGAAAGCGGGGAAAAAAAGAAAAGAAATGAACATCACGGTGTGAAAGGAGTGTCCACTGGAAGCCTCACACGTGATTTGAGTCTTTATTCAAGTCCATCCAACAGGACGGTGAAACAAGTTACAATGAGGAAGACAATGACCAATTTATTGTCCAGTTTTGGATTTGGGAGAAAGACCCCGGACAAAGATTTGTGAGAATACCCACGGAGTCAGGCAGGGACTGAAAACCTAATCCACTTGCCGCCCTAGACGTGATTCGAGCCATGGGTAGCAGAGGTATAACGTGGGGGAAGTACATGGCATAACTCCAACCTGACTTTCCACGTCTCAACCACGCAGTTTACAGGAAGCGACTTAATACTAGCCCGTGAAACCTGGTGCGCTACTTTTTTTCAGTAGCTGGGGTGACCAATGGTTCATGAAGAGGGGACAATGCAATACACCATTTAAGACATTTCAAAAACAGGAATCCATTACGTCGCTTCGATAGCTTAGTTGGTAGTGATTTAAAGTACAGATCCATTGTCCCTGGTTCGAATCCGACCCATTTGTGCTATTCATTTTCTGATTTTATCATTGTGTTTGGGATTTCCTTTTTCAATTGATGCAGAAACAGAGTCCAAGCAAGAACCCTCTAAGGGTCTTGGGAAAAATAGCAGACCAGGTTTCACGGGTTAGTATCTAATCACTTCCCCAGCTGTATGGCCTTGGATGAGAGAGTCACGGTGTTTCAAGCATGTATAGTGGGATTTTCCCGTGCATTTTTGGTATTGCTGATGCATTTCACTATTGTTGAATTCAGCACCCCCACTGCAGACCACGCCCCCAAAAAGGACACTATCTTCACAAAACAACTGAGATGTCTGCCTAGGAAGGTCTCCGCCTGATTNAGTTCACAGCACATTCTCTGAATTTAATTTACCAAACTTGAAGGACAGAATAGGCGCGGACCTCGTGGCGCGATGTTAATTTCCATGCACAGTGCCGCTACGGGCCCCGAGCGGGACTGCGAGAGGGCGCGAGTTTCTTAGCAACGGGGATTTCTTTGGTCGGAACTGGAACTCCTCCCGTTCACGAACGATAGGAAGAACAAGCTAATAGCAGGATTTGACTGCAGTTATCAGTGGCGATTTTCCAAAGAAGTGGGTAAACAATGAAAAAGCCCAGCAAAGTTTATCTTCATATGTACTCAAGACAAAGGCCATGGCGTCGTCGTGGGGGAGGGAACGCTTGCCCCCAGGGAGAAAAACCAAAATATTTCAGAACAGGACCACTTTCACTGTCAATGATTCAACAAATTACCTTCTCCCTCCACGCCGACAATGCCTCAACTAGAGAAAAAAATTCCCAGCGACGTTCATACCGCCGAGTATATACTTACTCTTCGCTGACAGTGGCGTGGCATAAGGAGCAGTCGACCGAATTCCCTGGGATCGGTGACAGTGCGAAAGTTGGAGTATTTCAAGATGGCTCCATACTGGCCTAAATGGAAACAATCAAAGGCTCAAACATAAAACCCAGGTCTGAATGCCGTAGTCCTGTCTCCATGAACTCCCAACCGTCTCCCGCACTATCCTCAGATTCACGCATTTCGCAACTCTTTCATGGCCATTTGAATGGGATTCTCACGTCAAATAACAGTCAAGTTCAGTTCAGATTAGTTAAAATCAGATTAAACTGTGTCATCTCACCGGTCTTTGCAACGAGGCCCTCTCGATGTAAAACACAGTTGCAATCAACGCACATCCAGCCCACGTGACGATCATCCTCAATACTGACGTACCCTGCGGAGCCCGCTGGGCACTCAAGTTTCGTCAGCACGGGCGCCTTTTGGGCTGGCAGAAAACAAAAGAAAGCGGGGAAAAAAAGAAAAGAAATGAACATCACGGTGTGAAAGGAGTGTCCACTGGAAGCCTCACACGTGATTTGAGTCTTTATTCAAGTCCATCCAACAGGACAGGAGTATCCACTGGAAGCCTCACACGTGATTTTAGTCTTTATTCAAGTCCATCCAACAGGACGGTGAAACAAGTTACAATGAGGAAGACAATGACTAATTTATTGTCCACTTTTGGATTTGGGAGAAAGACCCCGGACAAAAATTTAAGAGAATACCCACGGAATCAGGCAGGGACTGAAAACCTAATCCACTTGCCGCCCTAGACGTGATTCGAGCCATGGGTAGCAGAGGTATAACGTGGGGGAAGTAAATGGCTTAACTCCAACCTGACTTTCCACGTCTCAACCACGCAGTTTACAAATTACATGGCAATGCTCCAGCGAACACGCGACTGTGACTGTTACCTGGTTTAGCTTTTGGGGATTCGATTTGTGACAGACGCGACAACAGGTCTACTGGACATCAGAGGGATACCAGAAAGTCTATACCAGGCAAGATATGGGACGAAGGGGTACCCCCCCTTACCTGTCCAATCCCTATACACACTCTAGACTACGTT